CCTTCCCATTTTATAAGTAGGGAAACTCATGCTCAGAGAAGAGCAGTGTCTTACCTAAGAGTGCAGAGCTGCTGAGATCGGAGTCCAGGACTTCCCACAACACCACACTGATGCCTTTCTCTCCAGATGACAGGGGGAAAGGGGAGGGATCACGGAGCCAGAGCTCCTCCATATGCCTCTGTGTTTTCAGCTGAGCTGGTGAACCCACCAGCCTAGGGGCCAGTGAACCCAGGGGCCAAGGAGACCAACTGGAGGTCAGAGCAGTGAGTCTAGAGTTGAGCTCAGCTTTAACACTGGCTTCCTGGGGCATCAGGTCTGCATCTGCCCCACCCCAGTAGAGCTAAGCAGTCCCGTCATTGGGTCAGCCAGCAAATATTTATCCAGTACCTCTGGTGTGCTGAGTAGTGTTGTGGGTTTCAACAAGCAGAGCCTGGGGGCAGGGGACATGCAAAATCCATGTAAGGTTACCTGATGAGCTAGCTCTTTAGTGTCTGGCCCTGAACTCCAACTATGTGCTGGGGCCCAGACCTCATATGATGGCATTCTCACCAGAACCCATGGAGGGAGGGTCTTTCAGTTCTGTTTTTGCATGTATAGTGATGGTGATGGTGGTGATGATGATGGTGATGGTGGTGATGGTGATGGTGATGATGGTGGTGATGATGGTGATGGTGGTGATGGTGATGGTGATGATGGTGGTGATGATGGTGATGGTGGTGATGGTGATGGTGGTGATGGTGATGGTGGTGATGATGGTGATGATGGTGATGGTGGTGATGGTGATGATGGTGATGATTGTGATGGTGGTGATGGTGATGGTGATGATGGTGATGATGGTGATGGTGGTGATGATGGTGATGATGGTGATGGTGGTGATGGTGATGATGGTGATGATGATTGTGATGGTGGTGATGGTGATGGTGATGATGCTGATGGTGGTGATGGTGGTGATGATGATGGTGATGATGATGGTGATGGTGGTGATGGTGGTGATGATGGTGATGGTGGTGATGATGATGATGGTGATGATGGTGGTAATGATGATTGTGATGGTGGTGATGATGGTGATGGTGGTGATGATGATGGTGATAGTGGTGATGGTGGTGATGGTGGTGATGATGATGGTTATGATGATGGTGATGATGGTGATGGTGGTGATGGTGATGGTGGTGATGATGGTGATGGTGGTGATGATGATGATGGTGATGATGATGGTGGTAATGATGATTGTGATGGTGGTGATGATGGTGATGGTGGTGATGATGATGGTGATGGTGGTGATGGTGGTGATGATGGTGATGATGGTGATGATGATGGTTATGATGATGGTGATGATGGTGATGATAATGATGATGGTGATGGTGGTGATGATGGTGGTGATGGTGATGATGATGGTGATGATAATGATGCTGATAATGGGGGTGGTGGTGGTGCTGGTAGTAGTGATGATGGTGATGGTGGTGATGGTGGTAGTGGTAATAATGATGGTGATGATGGTAATGGTGGTGGTGGTGATGATGGTGATGGTGGTAGTAATGGTGGTGATAATGGTGGTGGTGGTGGTGATGGTGGTGATGCCATCTGACATTATTGAACGCTATGTGCCCAGCAATGTTACAATGTCAGATTGATTCTCTTCTTTAACTTTCATAGTAACCCTACAAAAAGCAGATTCCTTTGCTCCCATCTGACAGAGAAGGAAACTGAGGCTTAAGGAGGTGAGTGATTCACCCTGCATCACAGAGCAGGTGGAGGATGTACCCAGGATTCCCGCCCAGAATCTGACTCAAGCACTGCACTGAAACCACCACACCTCCCTGCCTCCTCTGATGGGCTCTGAGCTCCTCCAGGACAGGGCCTCCATCTGACCGTCTCTATATCCGCAGCTCTGAGCCCAGGGCCTGCACATTGGCAGGTGCTCAGGGAAGGTCTATTAGGAATGGCTTGTGCACGATGATTTGTACAGATGTAAAATCCCACCTGTGCCTTAATGCATCACCTTTACAAGCAATAAGCATACCGATCGATTTGAAATGCTCGTGGATAATTGAATGAATTTGTGCAGTTTTTGGCCAACCCAGATCAGTTGGCTGGCTCTCCCTGGAAGAATCATGTCCGGGACATCCCCATTGACCACTGCCCAACCAGCCAGGCCTCCCAGAACCTGCTGCCCAGGATCAAGTCACCCTGGCCTCTCCCTAAGTTAAACCCACCCATGGGTGAGGACCCCATGAGCTCCCAGGTGAGAATGGCCTGTGACGCCCCCCTGCCTCTTACAGAGAAAGAGCCCATAGGGGCAGGGACTGGAGGAGGGGAGGTAGCAGCGCTGATCTGTTGCCGGAGAGAGAGAGAGTGGGGAGGAACACACTTCTTTCCAGACAAGCTGTTCGCTTACCAGCTGACTTTGGTAAAAGAAAAAATATTCCTAGTGCCATCTGTTCCCAGAGTGGGGCTGGTGTGGGGCCCGGGGCTTCCTGCCGCTCAGGCAGCCAGACCCAGTTTCAGAATCTGCAACAGCTGCCCCCCTGGATTATTTTGGGAAGCGGCTCAACTCCACAGCACCCCGGCCTTCCTTCGAGGCATTTCCCGTCACTCCGAAGCTGTTTGCACACCCGGCCCCAGACTGCCAGCTTCTTCTCAGGCCTGCCTGTCCTCCCCGTTCAGCCACTGTCATCATCCCTCTTCCCACTTCCCCCGCACCCCCTGCAGGAGTCAGACTCCCCGGGGTGAGGGGCAGGGACAGCCAGCTAAACGGAGGGAAGGGCTCCCTGTCCGCCTCCCTGGTCTCCTCTGTGAGACCCACGGCTTCCACCACCTCCAAGCGCCAGCCGGGACCCCCAGGCATCCACCCTGTGCCACTGGGGGATCCCCCTCCCTCACTGATGAGTCCTCAAGGATCGTCCCTTTGTGAAAGCTAAGCTCCTGGAACAGGGGGATGGGCATCTCAGGCAGGCGCGGCAGCAGAAAGGCCTGCAAACCGAGCCGAAAGCAGATGGGAAGGGTTGGCGTGGGGCAGGGGTAGACCACAAGGCCGGCATGCCGGGAGGGCCCAGGGCATCGGCTGCTGCAGGGAGGCTGGGGACCAGGAGGGATTTAGAGCAGGACACTAATGTAGTCATGATCCCAGGACAGAAAAACCCCAAGTGTTGGTGCGGAGCTGGGGTCAGAGGGGAAAAATGTAGAGAGCCCAGCTGAGGAGTCACTGTATCCCGGCCCCCCATGGGGGTGAGAGCCTGGGCCACTCCAGAGGCAGAGGGAAGAGAGGAGAGTGTGAGTGTGAGAGGCAAGCCGAGGGCAAGACTTGGTTCCCCGGGAAAGGGGGAAGAGGGGGTTTGGATGAGCCACAGATCTGAGGCCTGGGGGCCAGGAGGCTGAGATGGGGCGTCAGGAGGTGGGACAGGGGGAGGGGTGAGCTCTGACTTGGACATGGAGAGTGGGGTGAGTCCCCCAAGGGAAGCTGTGCCCGTGGGTCTGGTCAGGAAGGGGGCTGGGGGGGTGTCAGAGGCCAGCGGGGGGTGGGGGATGGAGTTATTGTCTAAGGGGGATAGAGTCTCAGTTTGGCAAGATGGAAGGAATTCGAGGGATGGATGGTGGTGATGGTTACACAGCAGCTCAAGGGTACTTAATGCCACTGAACCATACACTTCAAAATGGCCAAAATGGCTAGCTTATCGAGTATATTTTACCACAATAAAAAAAAACTGAATCCTGTGATTAAAAGGCAGAGGCATTCAGATTGGTGAGAAAGATAACAACTATTTGTGTCTGTAAGGAATCCTCTTTAAATACAGAGACACAGAAAGTTTGAAAGTAGAAAGATGGAGAAGATACCTCGCTGTATTAATATCAGACAAAGGAGGTTTCAGAGCAGGAGATATTCCGGAGGATAAGGAGGCACAGGTGATGCTCCCGACGGGCACAGCGGCGGCAGTGGCCCCAGGGAGCAGAGATGGCCTGGCCCACACCAGCCCCCTACAGCAAAGCCCCTCCCCAAGTCCAAGGCCGTCAAACTGTGACGACCCCAGACCTAGCAGGCTCTGTCCTCGATGGGGGTCCTGAGTTGGGAATGCAGGGGAGAAGCCCGGCGGCAGCCCCGTGAGGCCCACCTCAGCCTTCCCCTGCCAGCCCTGCCCCCCTGCCCCCTGTGCCTTGTCCTGGTTGGTTCCCACCCCACGTCGGCTACTGGGACGGCCGTGGTCAACCCTCCTCCAGGGACTTATTCTTCGAGAAACATAGGCAGCAAGTGCCAAGTCTCAGCAGAGAGAGAGCAAGGCCCCTCCCTGGGACAGACTGGGAGACCACAAAGATTTCTCCTTCGGGATTTCTGGGCAAGGTTCTCTGCCACCATTGTGGAGTTGGGCCTGGCCCGCGGTTCCTCTGGCAAGTAACCAACTTAACTGCCCCAAGGGGCTCGGGGGCTTGGTTTTGGAGCCACGTCCATCCCCCTGAGGGAGAGACAGGCTAGCAATAGCTAACTGTGGGCAGGCTGGGGCCTCTGGCCATCTGCCCTGACACCCAAGAGTCCTTTCTGCTCCCAAGGTCAGGCCCTGGAGCCCGAGTGAAGGTCAGCATCACTGGGCTCTCAGCGGCCCCCATGGGTGCCCTCGGAGATGGGACTCTGAGCACCTTCCATGCCCAGCCCGTGGGAAGGGGAGCTGCACTGGGGGGGCGGAGGGGGGCAAGCTCGTACACATGCAGATTGAACCGTCTCTCCCAGGACACTACGGCCTCCCCAGATCCCTCCCAGAACTAACACTTGTTTATATTAACTGAGTGAGGCCAGGGGGTGGCTCAAAACACATCCATGCCTGCCTGCGGAATTCAAAGACACTCAGATGGACACGGGAATGGGGGTGGGGGTGGGGCCGGCACGCCGCAGACACACAGGAAACGGGGGGCACGGGCCGCGCGGTGGGGCAGGTCCCTCTGGGGCAGTGGGTCTTCCTGCTGCTGCCGCAGGCAGGCGGGCTCCGAGAAGCAGCTTCTGGGGGCAGCGCCCGCTAATTGGGGGGTCCACGGGGCAAGCTATCCGTGCTTTCCTGCAGCTTGTGCTTTCGAAACAAGCTGTAGAGGACCCGCAGCGTGCTCTTGGCGTCCTTGTTCACAATGTCTGCGGGCCAGAGGAGAGCAGGACAGCTGGTGGGGCCTCGGCCGGGGCGAGGAGGGGGGTGACCACAGTCCCACTTGGCCCGGGACCGAGGGGCTTCCTGGGACACGGGACGTCAGTGCTAAACCCGGGGTCAAACAGGACGGTGGGTCACGCTAGGCCTGAGTCCCGGGACCCATCACATGGCCCTGCCTCCCTCCTTCTCCCACCCAGTCCTCCCCTGCACCCCTCTTGCGGTGCCCCCCACATATAATTCCTCAAGGTCTCATCCATCTGGACAGCCTGCCCCGGGGTCCCCAGTCCCCTGTGTCCTCTCCCCAAGCCCCCTCCTCCCGCAGGGTGGGTGGAAGCCGTCTTTCCGTTGTGGGAAGGCCCTGTGCCGAGCAAGAGGACCACCCCGACATAGGCTGTCCCCCGACACCGCAGCACCCACATGCTCCACACGCTCACCTTCGGGGTTGATGGGGTAGTCGAGCAGACCTTCGTCCTTCAGCAGCTCCAGGGCAAGGGTGACATTGTGCAGCTGTGGTAAGACCCCACCAGATGTTAGTCCCAACCCAGGCCCAGGCCCCCAAGTCCCAGGCCTCACACTTCAAGGAGGCCACCTCTAGTGGGGAAGGCAGTTATGGGGAGGGGCATCCGGTCCAGAGGTCAGGGAAGGCTTCCCGGTGGAGGTGACACCTAGAGGTAAGTCCTGCTGGGCAAGGGGACTTAGGCAGGGAAAATAACACAGGTTTATCCCGGCCTTTTCTGATGCAGCCCCAGCACTGTGGGCAACAGAGGCCCCATCGGAAACAGCTAAGGAGAGCAAGGTGCCGAGTGGCCAAGGGGCTCACCCGAGCTTACAAGTTGGAAAGTGGCAGAACCAGGTCTGTCTCACTCTGATGTCCGTGCAAAGTGGGCTGGAGGCTGGAGCAGCCACCCATGCCAAGGCGCTCATGGGTTCAGATCCCTGCTCATGGGGTAACTTCCAGCAAGTCGCTTGACACCCCTGGACCTACCTTGCTCACCTGCAGAGTGGAGTCACCACCATCTCCCCCGTGTCCTGATCTGGGGTGCTGGGTGGGAGCCCAAGGGAGCCCGGACAGCCCTTGGCTCAAAGCACACGCTCTGTTAGTGGGGTTTTCCCTATTCGTGGCTAGTTTCTCCCTTGGGCCTCAATACAATAAAAAAGACCCTGCCCTTCTCCTGGGGGCAGCAGCCTGGTGTGGGGCGAAGCAGGTCTAAAGCCGGTTTCCCAAGCTGTTTGCCCATAGGATCCACTTGTCGTGGGACCAGTGTTTTGGAAACACTTTGTCTACTCGCTTATTTAAAATACATTTATTGAGCATCTACTATGGGCTTGCCGTGTAGCAGGGGCCAAACCAGACCCCCTCCCTGCCCTCATGGAGTTGGTGCCTTTAGAACCGTCTCTTGACACTATAAAAATGATCACACTTGTTTCAGCTCATCAAGCCCATACTCGACCTGAGCCCTGCAGTCTCCAGAGACGTCTCAGCATGCTCTGCCCCAGGGGTCACTTCCCTTCCGTGCATGGCTTGAGATTATAAAAGTAAAACCACCACGTTGCACGGAGCGGAGGGAAGGTTGTAATCCAGGAGGATGTGCTCAAATCCTCCCGGGGAGAAATAATTGAATGTGGGAGGAAGCCCACGATTCCCTGTGCCGGTGTTTTGATTTCTGCAGAGCAGATGGTCGCCTCCCTCCCTCTGTCCCTCACTTGTCTTCCTGGAAGGGATGACAGCCTCACATCAACACCAGTGGCAAGGAAGATCTGATAACAAAGCATCCAGTTTTGAGGGACCACTCTGCCAAGATTACGTACGATTCCTCGGGTGTCCCACCGGCGGAGAGGGCTGTGGTCCCTGCCCTCCAGCTAATGACCTCTTTGGCATTTTGATCATATGCTCCTGCGGCTAAGGTTACCTACAATGTCCTATAAAAATTCATTCTTGGGTCTGAACAAAGAGGCTGCTTCTCGCCCCCCGTATGCAGGGTGGCTCAGATTGGGAAGTTGGTTCTAAAATTGGTGGCTAGAGTGGGCTCACGGCCCCCAGGGACATCAGGAGTAAGAACGTTTGTCCCTGGCTTGTAACTGGGGTTTGCCAGCGTGCCGAATCCTGGGCAGAGGCTCTGAAGTCCCATGAAGCCCAACACCCGAGTAACAAAGAGGGGACACCTATGCTGTTCTGGGTCCCGGCTCTGAGCCCCTTCCCCAGGCTCCCCGGCCTGCGTGTGGCCCGTGCTGTTCCATCTTCCTGCCTTCTCCCCCACCTCCGTGTTCTGCCTTCTGGCTGTAGGGTCAGCACCGCCACCTTGGCTGGGCTCTGACCCTCCTGGCCCTCCCAGTGGCCCAGCACGGGTCTGATCCATCCCCAGGACTATGGCTCTCACCCTCCCCAGGGCCACAGGCAGGCCAAAGGGGACAGACATCTTTCCTTCTCCCACAAATGGCCCCAAGGCTGGCCCTGGGAATTGGCCTGCAGCCCTGCTTGGTATTCCTGCTCTACAGAAGGAGCCACTGCTGTGGAGAGATAAAGGGGGTGCCTCCCAGCAGGCTACAGCGACCGTGGCGTGGACAGAGCTAAGCAGGCCACCTGGGGTCCTGGGCAGGCCGCCACCTGCCCAGGGATCTAGCACATCTCAGCCACGCCGCCAGCATCACCTCCGGTAGGGCTGATGCTCACGAAGACTTCTGGCCGGTCCTGAGCAGGCCAGGGGCTCCAGGGACCACCCGCCCTCGATGCTTCCCCTCTGTGACCCTCCAGACTCCGTCTGGGTGGGTGGTCTGAGGGGTGGGCAGGGCAGGGATTGTGAGCCCACAGGGAAGAAACGAGAAGCCCGAGGTGCAGGCCGTGAGCTGGTGTTGGAGCAGGGACCGGACTGAGGCTTCTGGTTCCTCTGCCACGTCTGCCCCGACGTGGGGCCGGATGACGGGGTCCGGTGCTGCCCCCCATCTGCAGAGTAGTGAGAATCCCCTGCCCTCACTGGCAGGTCGATGTCTCTTGTGGAAGGGGCCTTCCCGGGCAGGGGAACAGCTGGGCAATACCCCAAGCGGGGAGAGCGCGAGGAGCTCTAGCACTGTGGCGCCCCGCGGGAAGGCTGGGGAGGCTGGTGGGCTGAAGAGCAGAGCAGAGGAACAGGAGCCCGCCAGGCGGGGAGGCTGTGCATGGGGATGCAAGCAAGCCACCAGCATTGTCATCCTCTCTCCGGCTTCCCCGGTTAGGACGCAGAACCCCCTGCCTGGACTGGTGTAGCCATCCCCCAAGCAGCCGGCCAGCCTGCAGGGGCCACAGAGGGACTCCCGACCCCTGCCATGCCCTGGCCCACCCCTGCAGCAGCGCAAACCACAGATGGATGCAACCCCAAGATTTCCGTGCTTCTGTCCACACCTGAGCCTTTGCTGATGCTGTTCCCGCCCCTTGGGGTGCCCTCACTCTGCAAAGCAAACGCTGATCAACAACACATGTCATCTCTTATGCCCTCCCAGACTCCTTCAGATCATAGCAGCCACTCCTTCCTCCGGGTCCCCAATGGACCCACCCACCCGGAACCAACACACTTCACCGTGGCCCTGGGGAACCACACCTCACTGAGAGTACAGTGGGTATAGACTAAAAGGCCCTCAAAAATAGGAGCTGTGTGGGACTGTCTTTATGACCCACATGCCACAGCTTGACACCAAGCAGGACCTCAAGAAATGAAGGATCAGGTGGCGGATGGGAGCTGGATAGGTGGATGGATGGATGCATGGATGGATGGGCAGATAAGTGGGTGGATGGATGGATGGATGGATGGGCAGGTGAATGGATGGATGAGCAGATAAGTAGGCAGATGGATGGATGGGTGGGCAGGTGAACGGATGGATGAACTGGGTGGAAGGGCAAATACGCAAGTCAATGGAGAGGTGTGAAGGTGGATGGATGGGTGGGTGGATGGATGGATGGATGAGTAGATAAACAGACAGATAAATGGATGGGCAGGAAGGTGAATGGGTGGATGAATTGGGTAGATGGGTGGATGGATGGGTAGATATATGGACAACCAAACAAACTTCCCCTCCACCCTTCACTTCACCTGGAAGTGAATAAGGAGACTGGTATTGCCAACTCCATAAGGTCTACATTGAGGAAACCTCTGGAAAACTTACCATTTCCGCAGGAGAGGTGGGAGTGAGGTAGAATTCCTTCAAGTGCAGGAAGAAGCCTTCCAGTTGTCCAATCAGCAAGAGTAAGAAGACCCCGTCTGCAAACTGCAGAGGAGAGTGTTGGAGGCAGACGGCCCAGGGCTCCCGCTCTGCCTCCCGCGGGCTGTGTGGCGCTGCAGGAGGCACGCACCTCTCTGAGTCTCAACTGTCTTTCTGAGACTTAAAGACAACATCCCCAAACTTTGCCATGTGTTGTAAACATTGGCGACAGCAAGTAGCAAGCACTCACTGGCCACCTGGCACAGACCACACGCTCCATAAAATAGGTTCTTTACACATTATCTTGTGAGATAGCTGAATATCGCTTTTTAAACCACATACTGATCCATGAGCTACAGGAGCACAGGAGAAAACAGAGTTGAGTGTAAAATCATTCCTCCGGAAGAGGCAGAGGATAGCACACGAGGCTCATTTTGCTGGCTGCCACATTAATATTTCTGCCTGTTTGGGCTGTATGTTCAGAGATAAAGCCGCCAGCCCACCACCAGCATATCATATCCTAGCATAATCTTACTCAATCTCTTCAAAGATACAAAACACAAGATAGCTATTGGAGGGAAAACCACCACTCGAAGTCCTTAATAGAATTTCCTCACATTAGGTCTGTTCCAATGTTATTAGTTCGGTCTGAAATCTTTTCTGCTGATATTCTCTGGTAATACCCCCAAAATACCAGGGACTTCAACTTCTCCCTTTATCCGACGGTCTCTACATACAGTCCTCCCACATACCATTATTTTCCGAATGCCATTCCTTCACCAAGGGAGAGATAAAAATGAGAAGCAGGTAAAATGGAAACCTACAGGATCATCCTTATATACCCACATAAGATATAATAAAACCCCAAATTCAGCATTTATGGCATGTCCACAGTGTACCAGGTCCTACGGTAAACACCAGAGGCTCATCATCTTATTTATCGCTCCCAATTCTATGAGGCTGGTCTCCTTAAACTCATATTAAAAGAAGAGGAGGCTGATGTTCAGAGAAGTCCAACCCAAGGCCACACAGATCATGAGAAGGAGGTGTCCTTGAAGCCATCTGGTACCCATCAGTCCAGAGCCTGGTATCGCTAGCCCACCACGTCACCACACCACAGCACACACGGGCTTCTCCTGTGGCCACCATGGGATGCGGTGAGGCACATAAACTGTGGCCTCAGCACCCTGGATTCAAATCCCAGGTCCTCTGCTCTATCGCTGGGTGACCTTGCATGAGTTCATCGACATCCCTGTGTCTTAGTGTCCTCATCTATAAAATGGGGTAGTATCTGCTCCCCCCGCAGGGACTGTCGGGAGGATTCAGGAGTTACTGGATGTAAAGCACTTTGCTCAGGGCCTGGCACATAGTGAGGGCTTTATTGCCTTTAGATACCTGGCACCCCGTCCCTCGCTGGCTAATGCCAGGTGTGTCAGAAGTCAGCAGCTCTCCATTTGGCCCACCGGGGGCCAGACCTGCCTTCCACCTCACTCCCCCACGGCCACCACGGCGGAAACATGCATGGGCGGAAACATGGTGGCAGGTGGTTGAGGCCAGTGGCCAGCAGGCTCCATCGGCCCCCGAAGGCCCTGGGCTGACGATTAGCCTCTCAGCTTCTCCGTTCCCCTCTGTGCTGAGGGGACATTACGGGTGCACAGTATCCTCGTGGAAGGCCGTGGCCCCCTGCACAAGGCTGACTGGGTAAGATTCTGCTCCTGCCCCACGGCAGCACTCGGTGAAGTCAGCTGCGGCGGGCTGGGCCCAGAGAGGCTCTAAGGCAGCGCCGGGCACGTGACACCGTGAGAAAATGCAGTCACACGAGGGGGGCTCCAACTGCTCCAACTCCAACAGTCCCTGCCTCGCAAGATCCCTGCAGTGTCTCTGGTTGGTGAGTCTACCTCCCAGCAACACCCCCCCACCACTAGAGAGGAGGACCCCAGAGCTCTGAGAGGCGACACATCCCGGGCCACACGGCGGTAGGCCCCGGCTCTCAGGGCCCCGCGGGACCCTCTTCCCCAACCTGCACCCCAAGGCCCTTCCCTGCCCGGGGGCCCCATGGCTGAGTCCCTACCTGGGTATCCAGGTTCTGCACAGACAGGCCCAGGCGGTCCAGGTTCTGGTTGACGAAGTTCACAATGGCCTACCCGAGGAAGGGCAAGGACCTGAAGGCTCAGGGCTCCGGTTTGCCCCCTTCCTACTCCGGAAGGGACAGAAAGCCCCTTGCGTGGTGTCCGAAGCACAGCAGGTGAGGAGCGAGGGCCTTGTTCCTTCCCCTTCATCCCCCAGGACTCAGGGTGGACAAGCAGGAGGGCGACTGGGAGCTTTGATCTCTCTTACCTCTTTCACCGTGTTCACTTTCTCCGGAGCCAGCCTAAATAATTCATCAAAGACGTCCTCTGCAGACAGATCCAATAAACACCTCATTACCATGCCGTTATCTTTGGGCCAAACAGGGACTGTATTTCCATACAAGTTTCTCAGGGTCCCCAGTCCAGAGGGAGCTGTCGTTCTACCTCCGGGTTCTTGAATTTAAAAAACGGGCCTGGGTCTGTCTGGGTCACTGCTCCCCTGGCTGTGTGGCCCAGGAAGAACTGCCTCCCCTCTCTGTGCCTTGGTGTCCTCATCTGCAAAGTATGGCTGATAATACCTACTAGATGGGGTCATTGCAGAGATGAAATTTGGGGCCACATAACACACTTGGCTTGGTGGCTGGGCACACAGTAGGGCTTCACTAATGGTCCTCCTTTCTGTCGTGGATGCCTAAGGTATCTGCTCCGCCACCATCCCGTCCTCGGGAAGCTGCCCTACCTCCTGCCAGTCCCCTGCCCTGCCCACAGGTTCCAGAGCAGACATAGGTGGCTGAGCAGGGGCCAGCCCCACACGGACACTCGGCCCATAGGTCTCCTCCCCAGCATTTCCTGATTGGCAGAATGAGGACATCGAGCCCTGCACCATGCAAAAGGCCAGCACCCTCAGCAGCTGAGTCACGCCTGTGAGACTCGGGAACAAAAGAGGCATCTTGGCAGCTCAGCAGCTCAGGCCCTGGGCCCGCCTCAGACACCAGAGTCCTCAGACGAATGCCCTTTTCCCACAAGCTGTCTTCCTAATATTTGCAGCCCACGCATCTCCCTGGGGGAGACCAGTCCTCAGGCACCGAATGCCCCAGCTAGCTAGTGGAAATTACCTTCCGACTCTGCCACTCAGCAGCTGTGCAACCCTGAGCAAGTCACTTCACTTCTCTGGGCCTCGGTTCCCTCTTTAGTGAAAGGGAGAGGTAGCACCAGATAGCATCATGCCCTTCCAAAGGCACCCATAAACATAGTGGAAACACCAGTGGTTCCTTCCAGACCCCTTGGCCTGTGCTCAGGGGAATCGTGTCCCTAAAGGAGCCAGGAAATGAAAGGCAAATGTGTGCTCAGTTGACAGGAGCCAGAACAGCGTGAATGTGCTAGAAAAGCGTTGTGAGGAGGTCCTGCTCCGTGTCCCTGCCCCTCACCGTGTGACCCACCCTCACGCTGCCCCCCCCCCAGCAAGCTCTGTTCCCTGAGCAACAACCCCTGTCCTCATGCTGCCCTACACACGCGCGCGCACACACATGCACACACACACACACACACCAGCCTCCCTGCACCTCCCCTCTCCTTTCTTCCCCCACACATCCTCCCTCAGCCTGTTCTCAGAAGCCCCTCACAGGCCATTATTTCCAGCTCTCCAGGTGGGGTGCCCCTCATGGAACCCCGTCCCATACAGCAATGTGTCTTAAGTGGGGAGGGCTTAGGGAGGAAAATCATGTTGGGATGGTTGGATGATGGATGCACTGGTGGGTGGGTGGATGGATGGATGGATGGATAGACTGGTGGGTGGGTGGATGGATGGATGAACAGCCAATCAGGCCAACCGGCTGCAGAATGAATGAATGAGGGACGCTGGGTGGCTCAGTCAGTTAAGCATCTGCCTTCGGCTCAGGTCATGATCTCAGGGTCCTGGGATCGAGCCCCACATCGGGCTCCCTGCTCAGTGGGGATTCTGTTTCTCCCGCTCCCTCTGCTGCTCCCCCTGCTTGTGCGTGCTCTCGTGCTCTGACAAATAAGTAAAATCCTCATCGGCTATAGATGGTACAATGTCAGTATAAAAAAGAAAAACACCGCACTGATTAAAACATACGGAACAAATAAAAATTTACATGTTCTGGGGGTGCCTGGGTGGCTCAGTCGGTTAAGCATCCGACTCTTGATTTTTGGCTCAGGCCATGATCTCAGGGTCATGATCTCAGGGTTATGTGATCAAGCCCCACATTGGATTCTGCACTGAGTGGGGAGCCTGCTTAAGATTCTCTCTCCCGGGGCACCTGGGTGGCTCAGTCGTTAAGTGTCTGCCTTCGGCTTGGGTCATGATCCCAGGGTCCTGGCATCGAGCCCTGCATCGGGCTCCCTGCTCGGTGGGAAGCCTGCTTCTCCCTCTCCCACTCCCCCTGCTTGTGTTCCCTCTCTGGCTGTGTCTCTCTCTGTCAAAATAAATAAATAAAATCTTAAAAAAAAAAAAAAAAGATTCTCTCTCCCTCTCCCTCCACCTCCTCCCTCTCTCTCTAAAAAAAAAAAAAAAAAAAGTCCACAAGTTCACATCAGTACCAAAAAAAACAGAAGAAAGAAAACTAAAATAAACAATTATAAAAAATGAAGGAAGGAAGGAAGGAATGAATGGCTGGACCAGTCAATGGGTGAAGAGGTCTGTCACGAGAGCAGCGGCCACGTCCCAGACCAGCCACGATGAGGTACCCACGCTGTGCTAAGCACATTTGCAAATTCTTTCAACCCTCATCACCAGCCCAAGAGGTGGGTGCCGTCATTAATCCCACTTTACAGATGAGAAAGCTGAGGCACAGACAGGCTAAGGCACTTGCCCAGGTCCGCACAGCTGCCAAGAGGAAGCACTAGTGTTCGAACCCAGGCCATCTGGCTCCAGAGTCCACATGTGTGTAACAGCCCCACCGTCACCACCAGTGGGGATTATAAATCTCTCCCCCACACGAGCAATACCAGGAGAGGAAACAGCCAGATCCATGGACGGACTGACAGGAGGAGTGACAAATGGACCAGAAGAAGGCTCGAAGTACACATAGCAGGGCACAAAGGGGGTGAGAACACCCAGCAAGTCACCCCTCGTCATCACATCTGTGTCGACACACACCCGAGAGGAACAGATCTCCTTAAGATACAATAGTACTCACTCGCAGGTTGGTCCTTGTCTGTGCTAAAGGGAAATTGTAGGGGGAGAAAGGCAAAGAAATGGTTAATATATATATATATACCATCTTCAGACCTCTAGTTTCTTCATATGACAAGACTTGGCACGGGCAGAGTTGACAATGAAGCTGGCGGGCTCATTCTTCCCCCGCAGCTTCGTAAGCAGGCAGGGAGGGTCCTTGTGCAGAGCAAACAGCCAGAAAGAGGCCCATACCCTTCCCTGGAGGTTTCCGCACTGAGTTATGTCTGGGTTTTGTCATTTCTGTGGTTGTCATTTTTGTTGGGGCGGGAGGCGTTATACGTGCAATCAGACACACAAATTGTATGTTTATCACGGGTGCATTTTTACATATCCCCTGTGGGATCAGCACCCCAAAGAGATAGAGACCCTTCTTAGCACCCCCACGTGCTCTCCCCCCCACCGCCCCATGACCCCCCAACCAGGATTACCACTGCTCTGATCCCTCCCACTGTGCATGCGTTTTGCCTGTTCCGGGAGTCCGTGTCGGTGAAATCACACAGCACACACTCTTCTGGGTCTGGCTTCTTTCACTCTGTGTTTCTTGTTTTGAATTGTTTTCCTTTGACTCTGTGTTAAATTTTCCATGCCAGCCCCGCCCCTGAGAAGCAAGGGTCTGGGCCCAAAGCAGGCCAGGCGGTCCCAGGGGAGCCAGGTGGCCCCCCCCCCCATGACCATGGCCCTCAGCAGGGGACTGGCTGTGCAGGACAGAGTGGGCAGCCTAAAGCAGAGACCCGGAGCTCATCAGCATGAACCAGGGTGCCAGAGGGAGAGACGCCCCCGTGCTGCCCAAGACACCAGCTGGGAGCCGAGGGGAGCCATCACAGAGTTCCAAGTTCATAAAGGGGTGAAGAAGGATGATTGTAGGACCCCAAGCGGGGCAGGAATGTGGCATCATGAACAGATGACACCTTCCCACTCAAGTTCCCCAGACTCATTTCCAGACCCTGAAGCTTTGGCTCAGAGGAGGAGCCAGGTCAGGGTCACCAAGCAGCTGAGTGACTGCGAGGTCACTCAGGCTCACTGAGTCAAAGGGGAGCAAGGCTTCTTCCCGGGGTGCCCTGGGGAAGGTTAAATGGGCCTGCGTGTGAACTAGACCCCCCTGGCATGAGGGGCCAGCAAAAGTCAGCCTCCTCCTAATCTTTGCCCTGCTCAGCACACATGCTTGGGTCACAGCGGACACTTGTCATCAACTTTCCACTGGTTTCAGTACTTTCCACTCCCCACAGGAGCCATAGACTGGAGGGACCCCAGGGTTGGAGGGAGTCCAGGTGGGGGAAGGCCCCCAAGCACACATTACTTATAACCTTCACAACAGCCCACGAGGTAGGAATGGTCTCCATTTCTGAGAGGAGCGGAGGCTCAACATGGTGGGAGGTGACTTGTCCAAGGTCACACAGCTCATATACCACCGAGGGGGAACTAAGCCCAGGTAGGGCTGCATGCCAACCCTATGAGCTAGAGTGAACTGACTCCTCAAGCTGGGCTCTGTGAGGGTCAAACGGGTCACAGGAGCTACACAGCTCACCCCGCACACAGTGGGCCCTCAGCAAATGTTAGATGAGAAAGGAGAACCTACAACCTCCTGCAAGAGGCCCACTCTCAGACCAACCCAGAAAGACCTGGCCAGCACTGCCTGGGAGAGCCTTTCCCTCCAGGAGGGCAGAGGGAAGAGCTCATTGGCTGAGCATCCTGCTTGCCCAGATAGACGGAAGGTAAACAGGTAAACAGCTGGCTGACATGGACACCCAAGGACAGAGTTTCCTGCCCCACATACAGTAGGCGCTCAATAAATGTTGGTGGTATGAGGGAGTGTTTGGTGTGCTTGTCTCCGGGCAATGGGAGGCCAGCAGGCTTCTGTCACCCTGTTATAACATTTGTGCTCAACTGCAGCATCTTCCTGCCATGGATGATTCCCTCACCCATATCCAGCGCTTGGGCACCAGGCAAAGGGGAACCAACATGGCATCAGGGTCCTCTGACCCCAGTTCTGGATTCCTCCTGGCCCACAATGGCTGTGGTGTGACCTCAGGACTGGGAGCCACAGCCCCTTTTCTAACCCCAATTCTGCCTGTTTTGTTGGGTTGTGCAGAGGATGAAATGAGCTGGCAGGGGTGGGCATGCCTAACAGCCCATAAAGGGCCATGCCCTGTGAGGCCCAGCAAGATGGAAGGGCTCCCAGCAGGCCTGAGGGGTCAGCAAGGCCCTCTGGGGGCTGAGAGGAAGCTAGGGAGGTGTGAGGGCCCCTCCCACAAAGGGCAGGTAGATTGGACCTGGCCTCAGGCCCCCCTGCCCATTCTCGAAAAAACATAACCTGGGGCGCCTGGGTGGCTCAGTTGGTTGAGCGACTGCCTTCGGCTCAGGTCATGATCCTGGAGTCCCGGGATCGAGTCCCGCATCGGGCTCCCTGCTCAGCGGGGAGTCTGCTTCTCCCTCTGACCCTCTTCCCTCTTGTGCTCTCTATCTCTCATTCTCTCTCTCTCAAATAAAAAAAAAAAAAGAAAGAAAGGAAAAACATAACCTGGCCTCTGCTGCTGGTCCTGGTTCTTCCCTCACCTGCATTGAGTGAGCTGTTCCACTGACTTCTCTGACTTCAGACCACTTTTGGTGCTCTAAGAAAGAAAAAAGGGGAAGAAATTGAGTAATTCCAGAAAACTCAGGGACCCATGCCAGCCATTAAAAGACTGTAGTTGCCAAAGCAGCACCAAGGAACCCAGCTCACTCTACCTCATCCCCTCCTCAGAGGTGGTTCCTGGACAGCTCTCATCACTGTGGCCTGGCTCAATGTCTTTCTTTTTCATGAGCCTTGAGCCCCATGAGGATGAGAACAATGTCTGTCTTGTTCTCCAGGTATCCCCAGAGTCTCACCCAGTGCCTGGCTCGTAGGGAGTCAATGAACATGAGTTGATCTGAATAATGAATGATTGATGACCAGATGGATGGGTGGATGGACAGATGGATGGACGGATGGATTGATGGATGGATGGATGGATGGATGGATGGATGGATCAATGGATGAGTGGAGATGGATGGATGAATGGATGGTAGATGGATGGGTAAATGGATGAGTGGTTGGATGGGAGGATGGATGAGTAGATGGATGAGTGGATGGATGGATGGATGATGGATGGATGAGTGGATGGATGGATGATGGATGGATGAGTGGATGGATGGATGATGGATGGATGAGTGGATGGATGGATGGATCGATGGATGGATGGTGGATGGATGGATGATGGATGGATGAAAGAATGGATGATGGATGGATAGATGGATGGATGGATGGTGGATGGGTGGGTGGATGGATGGATGGATAGATGTGGACAGAGGGGTGGGTGGACAGGTGGGTGGATGGATTGATGAATGAGTGAACGAATAAGTGAAGGAGTGAAGGAATAAAGTCACCTCTGATTTACATAAGAATGATAAACAAAGTCATAACACTATTTAGTAGAGAATTTCAATCAATGGTTTTGAAAAAAGTAAGAATGATTTCACCTGAGTGAAAGGTAAGCTCGAAGACAGGAAGTCCCAAAGCTCACCAGGTACTCGGAGGTTGGGGGAAGGAGTAATGGAGAGCAGGAGTAGGTGGGGGCCCATTTGTGGTGCTCAAATTCTGCCTGAGGGAGAAGCCGTGGGTTCCAGGGACATGAACTTCAGCACCAGTTGTGAGTGTGCTAGAGCAAGGGTGGAGGTGGAGGTGCAGGTGGAGATACCTGAGAAGGCTCCCTTGCATAGTCACAGCCATCCATAGTGACCAAGGGACAACACTGCAGTGCTATGGGCCAAGGCTGTGAAGGCTCCCAAAAGGCCATGAACAGATGACCACTTATGGCCCATGTGACATGGTTGCCATCAGCCAGGACCTTCCTAACACCGCCCCCACCAGCAGATGCTATCTACTGAAGCAAGTGGGACTGGCCAGCCCGCAGACCTACTTATGGCCCCCCTGGACTCTCGACATCTTCCACCCACAGCTCCAGCCCAGCCCCCATGGCTGTCCTGGAGGGATGTGATCTATCTCAAGGGAGGGTCAGCCCCCTCCCATGCAGCACCCCCAATCCAGGGTATGGTGATATGGACCCAAAATGCTCAGCCTATACCCAGGGGTCCCCTGAGGCCCAGACTCGTACCTCCATGGTGATCACCTCCACCTGGACGTTGGTCGGAAGGGGCAGGTCGGGCTGGAAGTGCTTGGCCAGGGCCACAAGCAGATGCAAGGTGGCCAGCAGGTCCTTGCTGAAGATGGCTGGGGGGGGCACAGGTCAGAGCTGAGGGGCTGCCCAAACCTGGGGCCACATGGAGGTCTCTTTGTGGTCACAACCACCCTCTGAAGACCAAGGAGCTCTGCGTCCAGACTTCTGGAAGGCAGAGTTCTGGAGACACTCATTCTGAACCCAAAACAGTCAGCCTTTGCTCTTGTCATCCCGCTCTGCGAATGCAGCACAAGGCACCGTGTGGGCGGGGGTTCAGTCACAGAGGCAGTCCCTGCTGACAGTTGTGCGTAACCCGATGCCCTATAGCGGGGTCCCGGCCAGGGAAACTACTGGATTCAGATGAGTGTGACTTAATTCAGGGCCAACATTATACCCATTGGTCATTGAAAGTGAGTCTTTAAACCAAGTGGTGAAGGCAGTGGCATGAGACCCAACCAAAACTGGGCTTGAAAACAGCTCCCTCATCACCCCCAGCCCTGGAGAAGGTACCAAACCCCTTTCTGCCTCAGTGTTCTCATCTGGAAAATGGGAGGGATGTGGGGCTCTGAATGGCGGGAAGGTCATACTGAGCCACTAATGGGCTGGGGTCGGGTCTGGGTGCTGTGCTCACGTTTGTTCCTCACAAGCCAGCTCTGCAGGTGTAACTTAAACCAATTAATGAAAGAGGACTGGCAGCACCCGTCTGACAAGGTAAGCCGGGGCTCGCGGTGCTTGGGATCCAAACAGGGGCTGCATGGTTGACCGAGTTTATGCCGCCCACACTGCGGCGGTCCCCACAGGTGCACGACTTTGCCCAGGAGGCCGTGCTTCTTCCAAGTCCCCAGGGTGTCCCCATACCGAAGGCAGGTGAGCACAGCTGCTGGGTGAACAGTGGTCACGGGTGCAAAGGGACCCAGGCGCCCCCCACCCTCCTCTGGACCCTGCCCCAGCCGAGGCCCCACTTACTTCCCACGCTCCACTTGAGCTGCCGCTCCTCCACCTGCAGACTGCCGTTGATGGCCTCCAGAACCACCTCAAGCTTGCGCCTCTGGCTCGGGGCGGTGAGAGCCATCTCCTCCACTTCCAGCTTGAGCCCGGTCAGCATCTCTAAGGGCAGGAGAGAGTGGGAGAGCCAGGGAAGGAGTTGGGGGAGAGGTGGAGGGAAACAGAAGAGGGAGGAGGGGGAGGGAGGGGGGAGGACAGTGTGGGGGGAAGGGGAGGGCACTGGGGGACCCCCCATTCCATAAGCTGTGTGACCTGAGCAAGCCCACACCCTCTGAGCTGCCCTCCACTGGCCCCTCACCTTGACCACCCCGTGCCTGCTCCCTTAGCCCTCTGCATAGCTCTGTGCACCTCCTTTCTGCAAGGCAGTGTGACCTAGACTCCTAGGCTCAGATCCTGACTCCGCCGCCTTCTTCACTCTGAGACCTTGGACAAGTGACTAGGCCTCTCAGTTTCCTCATCTGTAAAATGGGGACACTAACAGGATAGAGTTTTTCTGAGGATTAACCGTACCTGCTCCATGGTAGGTGCTGGGGAAGGGGCTGGTAGGCTCATTCGGTAGCCAACTACAAAGGGCTCCCAGGCCGGCTGAGGACCGGAATCAGGCCCACCCCAGCCCTCTGGGACCTCACAGCTTTGTGCAGAAGGCAGGTGTGTAGACCAAACCTGACATCTCAACAGCAAGGGGGTAGGGTACCTGGGGGCAGGGTGGGGGTCCTGTCTGGGGCCAGGAGGCAGCCCTGAGAGTGAAGGCGACCTGGGGAGCACTAGGCGTTTCCAGATTGAGACAGGGCCCCCCCCGGGCAGGAGCCCAGCCCGCCTCTACCCGCCCTGGCCGTCTCACTGCTGGCCTGTGTTCTCCAGCAGCCGGGGGCAGCCCGAGGCCAGGGGCCTGTGTTCTTTTGTTATCCACAGCAGCCTATAAACAGCAGGTGCTCCATACATGACACTCAGCAGGGGGCAGGAGAGTGAAGCTGAGTGAGGAGCCCACCCTTGGGGGCCTGGTGGGGCCGGGCTGGGGGGCTGGGGCCCAGACCCACGCAGCCCTGGGAGCTGCCACTTACGGAAAAGGTGGTGCAGGATGAGCCCATCAAATATGTCCTCCTCCAGGCTGCGGACCACAATGTGCTCAGGGAGGAGCTTGGCATTGATCCACTCCATTAGTACCTGCAGACCCCAAGAGGACGGCTGACCCAGGACCACTCCTCACCTGGTCCCCCACCTGGCTCAGTTCTGACCCCAGCCTGGAATGCCCTCCTCCCACCTGCCAATTTCCACCCATCCTTCAAGGCCAGGTCAAATGTCACCTCCTCTGGGAAGCCCTCTCTGCTCTCCCAGGCTGAGTTAGAGGCCCACTCTGGGCTCCCAGGGACCAGGGCCTGGTGGGACTGTCTTTTGTCCTGTGCAAGGTGTCAGTGCCAGGAAGCTACTGTAACTGGTACCTGTAAGTGGGGAGGTGGCTGTGGGACTGGATAATTGGTAAGAGCTCTGAAGGCCCTTGATAGGAAAAGCCTAAATTGCCTCGAAGAGGCTGTTGGTAGAAATCTGGACACGAAGCAGGCCCCTCTGGTAAGAGCTCAGAAGGAGAGGAAGGACACGATACTGGGAACCCAGAGGAGGCCCCCTGACAAGGAGGCAGAGATTGGTGTGGCTCGTCTACACGCCAAAGGACACCAAGGGTTGTCAGAGACCTCCGATGGCGGGAGAAAGGCCTGGGATGGGTTCCCCCTCAGAACCTCCAGGAGGAACCCCCTGCCCACACCTTGACTTAGGACTTCCAGCCTCCAGGCTGGGAGACCATCAGCTCCCCTTGTTTTAAGCCACGTGGTTCATGGTACTTAGTGGTGGCAGCCCCAGGACACCGGCACAGGGGCTGTGGGTGTCCCACCCTATCCCCCAGACTTCCGGCTGTGGGGCACCCCCTCTGCAACTCTGCCTGGGCGCCCCACCCTGCCTGGCCTCAACAGGCCAGAAGGGCAGGAAGCAGAGCCCTGTGCCTTTAAGGGAGCAGCGCCAGCTACTCCAGAGCTGGTGAGGAAACCCCCCAAGCTCCTCCACCTCCGCATCTGCTCCCAGAGGGGCCTAGCAGGCTTCAGTTTCCACCAGGGGCACCTGCCCTGGTGGCCCCTTCCCTCCCCATCTCCCTTCCCTTCTTGCTTTCCTTGTCTCCTCTATTACCTGCCAACTCACTACTTACACCCAAACCCTTATCTCAGGATCAGCTCTTGGGGGAGCCCAAACTAAGACGTGTCAGCGCCCCATCAGGTTTCACAGGCGGGACCGTGCTGGCTCTACCCTGCATCCCAGTGCCTGATGGAGGGAGCGAGGGAACAGGAGGCAGAAAGGAAGGGACGGGAAATGGCCAGTCTGGGGGTGGAAGGTGGTACAGGCCAGGAGGCCTCCCTGGAGGAGGCAACAGAAAGGCCATGTGGAGACTGGAGAAGTAGGGCAGAGGAAAACGGAGGCCTGAGCCTGCCTGTGCTCAGCTGGTCCAGCAGCCACAGCAGCAGACTCAGAGCCGTGGAGAAACCGGGTGACCTGGGTGATGCACGCCCGTTCCTGCCCATTTTGCCAGCTCTCCATTGCCTCAGACAGGTGAAAGGGCACACAGTTTGGGGCCTGGGTCAAACTCCAGTTCTGGTCAGCCATTGGCCAGCCGTGTGTCCCCCACTGGTCAGGTCACCCCTCTGAGCCTCACTATTCGCTCCATGGGATGCAAAACAGCAGATGCCTCTTGACCGTCATGAGGCTTGCTGGGATCATCTATGTAAAGGCACACAGTCGGTGCTCAATAAATGTTCTTTCATGTAGTCATTCAACAGGTCTGCCAGGGACCTGCAGGGTCACCACCCGCTGGCCTGAGGTCGGGGGGTTGGCCTGTTGTCCCCACCCCAAGAAGATGAAAAGACTGCCTCCAGAGAAATCAGGAGAGACCACAGAAAGCTGCCGTACCTTTTGCAGTTCTTCAAATTTGGGATCCTGCCGGGAAGTGGGGGGCAGGTATTTCTTCTTTTCCCCTGGAAGCAGAGGTGAGCATGACACATGTGTGGGGACACTGCAGGGAGCTGGGCAGCTCTCTCCCTGCAGGTCACCTGTATGCAGGCACCTTGACACGAGGGATATTTGGTCCTGTGCTTCACACATACACACACACGTGCAGGCACACACACACACACAGTCACGGATACACACACGCACACACACACAGTCACGGATACACACACGCACGCACACACACAGTCACGGATACACACATGCACACACACAGTCACGGATACACACACACGCACACACACACACAGTCACGGATACACACATGAATACACACACACACACACCCTGAGCATCAAACGTCTAAAAGCGACTCGGATTTCCCAGACACGCCTGGTCCTCCACGCCTCTTCCTTTGCCAACCTGTTCCTGCCACACCCTAAATGCCCTTCCCTCTCATTTCCCTCAGGAGCACCAGCTCATCCTCAGGCACAACAATATTTATATTTTGGGGACATACGTAGCCTGAAAAACTATTTCTTGTCTGAAATTCTAATTTAACTCGGCCTCCTGTGTTTTATCTAGCAAATCTACCCACTTAAGAAGATGCAGGGTTGGGCGCCTGGGTGGCTCAGTCCGTTAAGCGACTGCCTTCGGCTCAGGTCATGATCCTGGAGTCCCGGGATCGAGTCCCATATCGGGCTCCCTGCTCAGCAGGGAGTCTGCTTCTCCCTCGGACCCTCCCCCCTCTCGTGCTCTCTATCTCTCATTCTCTCTCGAATAAATAAATAAAATTTTTAAAAAAAAAAAAAAAAGAAGATGCAGGGTTCACACAAGCCCAGAGGCTGGGCACCAAGGGGTCGAGGAGGAGTCCTCCTGCATCTCTCTGGCTCCCTGGTGTGGGCAGGACCCGGAGGCCACCCCGGCTGACTCTCCAAGCCCCAGGATCCTGGTCAGCAGCTTCCTGACATTCTAGACTCACAGAACCCACACTTTTCAGGGCTGAGAGGGAACTGCAAGATCATCTAGTCTCAATGAATATGGGGGAAACCAAGTCACCTTGTGGGGACTGCCTTGCCCAAATTCACAAAATGCAATGCCTCTGTCTTCATATGATGCAGCTGGGGACTTTTCCTAGACGTTCTGAAAACCTTCAAGTACTACCCAGCCCCATATCTCCCGACAAGAAGGAGGGCTATCAAACCCGCTGGGCACCAGCCGGCTCTGGACCAACGCTTGGGGAGTGGGTGGGTTCCCCACCCCACCCCACCCCACCCCTTCCCTGAGCAGGTTCCCTGCCGCTCTCAATCATCACACGTTCCAGCTCTGCCTGCCAGTACTTCAAGTATTTCTAAATCAACTGTAAAACAAAAAATAAATATTTTTTCAAATAACTAAACCCTACTGCTAACAGCAGTTTTGCTCATGACACTTTCCAGCCTCAAACCCTCTATGAACAGAGAGCCCCGGGACAGCAAAGGAAGTCAGCCTCGTGACACTGGGCCACCCCCGCCCCCGCCCCCCCACCCCGCCCGGCCACCAGGGTCTCGCTCACCACCCCCGGGGGTTTCTCGGCCACAGCGCCTATCTCGAAAGGCTGTCTTCACAGCATCTCGATCAAGTTGCATTCTGCTCTTTCACTTCAATTATCTTACCCTTTCTCTCCGTCATCACACTTAGGTTTGAAAGGTGACATAAATTCCAGTGAGTTCGCTTAAAGCCCCTGCCGAACAGGACCTTTGGGCTGCTCCCTATTTTGCTTCTTTCTGCAACAGGGTGAGGATGGCCTGGGGCACCTGCACTGTCCTTTCCGACCGTCTCCCGGGAGGGAGGTTTCAGGGGCAGCAGCCACAAGCTCCCCAAGCTCAGAAAACAGACTTGCGGAACTCCTCCGTCCTACGGCCACCCCCCCTTTGCAAAAGGACCCAGGCTACTAAATAAATAGCAGCAGTTGGAATCTCCTCTTAACATCACCATTAACCTGAGATGTGCAGTCATGAGGGGAATGGGGATGCCTGCCGAAGTTTCTGGAAGCGGGGGGCAGGCGGCTGTCAAGGATGAAGCAGAAGGCAGAAGCAGATGACAACTTGGAAGGCAAGACAGCGCCCAGACCTGCCTGTTGGGCTCCTGCCGTGCAGACCCTCACCTCCCCTGCCCTGCCCGCACCCCCAGCCCCACTTGGACACGGCACCTTGTGGGAGTTCCTCCTCCGCCGGCGGGCCCATCACCTTAGGGAGCTGCAGCAGGTTGTACAAGGACTCTGACTCCATTTCTCCCTTGCTGGCCCTGGGGGTGCAGGGAATAGAAGGCTATCATCCTCGGCCTCTCTGTGGTTTGGGGGGGTCTCATTGCTCGTGCCAGCATGGGAGGGGTCAACATTTACAGAGTGTGTGCAGCCCCCTCCGTGTATTCATTATGGGCAGGGGGCCGGGCTCACCCTCCGCGGGACCGGGCAGATTCAGAAGCCGGCCCTGGCCTCTTTCCTGTTCCCCTAGGCTCACTTCCTCTCCTGCTCAGCCACCCTCTTCACCCCCTGCGTCTTCCCCCAGCGTTTCTGGTCCCAAACAGACACTGGGGCTGGGGTGTCATGCATCAGAATGGTGGCCAGCTATAGCCCCCAGGGAGGCCCCCAAAGATGGGGGCATTCACAGGGGCTGCAGCCTCCCCATCACCCTAGCAGCCAGCCCAGGGACCAGGGCACTGCTGGCAGCTCCATCCTGCCCTGAGGCGAGGATCCAACCCTACCCCCTGGATAGGCCTCCAAGCTCCTTTTGGACAGGATTCAGTTCAAAGCACATGGCCACAGAAGAGGAAAGAGCCTTGCCTGGGGGTTAGGCGGCCCAGGTTCCAGGCTGGCTCCTCCTCATTCTCATTTTGTGACTCTGGACAAATCCCCTCCCTTTCTGGTCCCAAAGATCTTTACAGACAGGGCCGGACTCCGAGCTCACCGAAGGCCCTGGAGTGGACAGAGCTAGAACGGCCTCAAGCCGTCAGCCGCCCCGGGCAGCCCCTCCCTGCCCCAGGCCTCCGTTTCTTCATCTGAAACCGGGTGGCCTCTCTTCCCCGCACGCTGGATGAAGCTCAGGGGAGGTGGCAGGGCGAAAGGGAGGCTGCCCGCTTGGCCACGCAATGGGATGGTGCCCGTCTGCCCGTCCGGCCCCAGGAGGGAGGAATGGCTGCTTCTAACCCTGGGCGACCGGAGGGGCAGAGGGGCTCAAGGCTTCGCCTGGCCCAACCCCCTCCCTGTGCAGCCTCAGCTGAGGCTGTGTCCTCTGGGGTCCGTTTCCACAAGCCCCCAGGAGCCCTCCCTCACTGAGCTCTGACTCCCGAGCTTTAGAGAGAGGCAGAAAGCCCCGAGCCGAGGGCTTCCGTGAGCTAAGATGCCAGGACTCACCCAGCTGCCTCCTTCACACCAGGGAATGAAGCTTGTAGCTCGTGATCGCTGGCTTCCAAATAAAAGTTAAGTTCCTAGCCGTGGGGGGCTGGAGGGGCCACGCGCTGCTCACTTCCTCCAGGCCTGTGGCTTCCGCAGGGCCTGCTCGGAGGCGTCTGCATGCAGCTTCCTCCTCGCTGGGCCACAGAGCCTGATGCCTCCACAGCCCCACCGGAAAGCTCTGTCCCCAGAGCCCCAACCACCGAGCCACACCTCCTGGCCCTCAGATGCCTCGCAGGCAACTCGGATCTGCAATTTTTTCCCTCTCCCCCTCTCCCCTCCCCACCACGCAGCCCAAGCCAGTCCCTCCCCGGCCTCACCATCTCCGAGTGGCCAGCATCAGCCAGCCAGCCGCCGAGGCCAGAGACCCCCACATCCCCACCCCCAGAGAACTTCAAGCCCTGCCTCGGGCCATCCCTCCACCCCCACGCCCCACCCAGCCAGCCCCTCTTCCCCTTTTCCTCTGGCCTGGACCACAGCCTCTGTGCTCGAGCCCCACCGCCAGCCTCTTACACCCCAACCCCTGCCCGGGATGCTCATGTTCCAGACCCCTCAAAACCCACCAGTGGCATCCCATCGTTCTTAAAATAAAATCTACTCTGCACAGCCTAGCATATGTCCTGATGGACCTGCTGGCTAGATCTCCATCCCCAACTCCAAACCTCCCAGCCATGTTGACCGACTTTCTGCTTCCTGAACACACCACATGCCTTACTATTTCCTCTGCCTAGAAGCCCCTGCCCCATCTTTTAAAGGGGCTAAGTCCCTTTATCATCAGCTTAAACGCATCCTCCTTCAGGAAGCCTTCCCTAACTGCATCATCTGAAAGAGGTTGTCTTTAGGATTCCCTACCACAGCTCTGAAGGTCTTCTGTGTCCCAGTGCCTAGAACAAGGCCTGACACCAGGCGGACTCTATGCATAAATGCAGCCGGCTACTGTTGCCTGGAGGATGAAGTTCTTCCAGAGAAGAAATGGGCCTTGATGGATGAATAAGAGTTTGCCCACTGAAGATGTGTGAGAATGTTCCAGGTGGAGAGAACAGTGCGTGCAAAGGTGTTAAGGAGTTTGAGAAGGAGAGGCCCCAGGACAGCAGGAGAGTCGGCGATGAGCCCAGACCCGAGCTGGGGTCCTGCACTTGAACCTTCCTGGGCCAGGATGAACCTGTTGAGTATTCACGGCAGCAGCAACTGTGCTGAGGGACCAGGAAGCCAAGCACCCTTTCTATGCTGACAAATCAGGCAGAAAAGGGGCGGAGCAGGTGGGAAGCAGGAACAAGTGCACACGTGAGCAGGAAAGCGGTGTTGTTCCTGCTTCGTAAGCTCCCAAGAACTTACAAAAATGACAGAAAGCATTAGTGATTATTACTGCTAATATTTATTGAGTAACTGAAGACGCAGCAGACATCGCTCTAAGGGCTTTAATTTTACTGGGGGCAGCCTCTGGGGCAGGTGCTGCTTTCATCTCCACCCGCAGATGAAGACACAGAAGGGCAGGATTCTGTTTCTGCCCCCCCCCGCCCCCCCCGCCGATGGCCCCGTGCGGGCCCGGGGTTTGTGGCGCAGTGGGCCGGGAAGCAGCGGTGCCCACACACCCACTTGGTTTGGGCAAGTGTGGCGGGCCCGACGTGACCCAGGGGTCAGTGTGCTGCCAAGTCCCCGCAGAGATGGCATGTCCGAATGGGGGACTGAAGAGTGCTTAATAAAGCACTGGTTGGGGCCAGGTTAAGGGAACCCAGAAGAGACAGTGCTGCCCCCCGAGATGGGCAACTCCAAAGCCCAGCAAGGCAGAGGACAGGGAGGACACCAGAGCCCAGAAAGAGATGGCTGGAGCTCTGAGCCGGCCGCCAGCCAGGGGCTGTGGTAGAGGGGGGCACGCCGACCCATGGTGGCCCGGCAGAGGGACAACTAACACCCTGATCTCGCTCACTCTCCCCCACCCTCCTTCCTGCTGGGGCCTCCCACTGGCCAAATCCCAGGGGAAGCCAGCGGCAAGAACGCCCGCCCAGGCAGTCGGTGAGGCCGGGGCTGTAGACACCGCGGCGGCGGGGGGTCCTCAGGGGAGGTCGGGAAACATCTGGCCCAACGTTGATGACTCGGGAGACAGCAGCGGCTTGGCAGCGTCCTGGTCAGGGCGGAGGCCGCTGGCACTGCGGTGTCATCGGACGAGTCCTTGATGGGGGGTCTGTTCCCAGCCTGGGGCTCCAGCCTTCCGGTGGCTCTGGGGTCACCTCATTTCTGGTATTAGACTCCTTCCTGTTCAAGCAACTATGGCAACGCCAGTTATCTGCCACTGGACCTGGGCTAATAAAGGATGTGTTAGCAGTCGAGGAAGGCAGATCTTAAGTGAGGGAGGGATGATGGATCTGGTGAGGGAAACTGGAGGGAAATTTCCACCGTGGAAAGTGGGGGATAACGAACTGGCCAGAAGTCACACGGGAATGACGTGGCTCTGGACCAGGCGTCCCTCCGAAGCTGGGTCCTTCCCAGCAGCTGTTTGGGATCCTTAGTATTTTTACAGCACCGAGGCCTCACTCTGCCGGTTAGTGGTACTTCAAGAGTGAGTTTTAACGCTGCAGACAGGAAAGTTCGACGCCCCTGAATCCCCCCGTGACTTCTGCAGGGAAGGTTTACAGCATGGCCACCGTCGAGGGTCACCCGGGCCCCTCGTCCTGCAGCGCATGGGGCACACCATCCCCCTGGAGCGGGCTGTCCAGCCGGCGCCACCAGCCCCCCGGTATCCCCCGTCCTGCTTTGGACCCAGACAGATAGGCCGACTCGCCCAGCTCGGCTCATCCCTACTGCACATCCGCCGCTGTGACTCAGCTTTTCCCCCGGGGCTCCCGCCCAGGAACCCCTCGACCTCAGCCCCCATGGGGCCCGTCCCCCACACTGGGCTGCACGCCGGCTCCTGGGCCCACTTCCCGGTCTGACTGGAAGCTCCTGGGCCCAAGCACTGGGCTGGCGTGACCAAGGGCCACCAGGCACATGAAAGCAAAAGGAGACACAGCCCCACTCTCTCGAGGTCTTTATTGGAATAAGTAACAGCACACTGTTCACACCGCACAGCACTTCCCTAACCAAGGCTCTGGCGCCCGGGAGGTCAGGTTCACGGCAGGGCCCACAGCCGACCCGAGGAGCCGCGGCTTCCCGCTGCCAGCCAGGCGGACAGCATTGCCAACACAGCCAGGGGTTTAGCGGCTTTTATTCGATATCCAGACATCCAAAGGCGCCACTGCTTAAAACAGCTAAAAAGACAATGAAACACGGGCCCGCAAAAGGGGGTGAAAAAAGCATTCAGTTCCTTTAAAACACAGCTCTTTGTCACATCCAATTAGGACATTAGGGCTCTGTGTGCATAAGACCCTGTGGTTGTCACGGGGGAAGCAAAGCTGCAGGTAGCCTCCCCGTGGCCAGTGGGAGCCTCAAACAGCCGCTCCAAGGATAAAAGGAGATCATCTCACGGCCCCTGCCTGGGCCCTCACTTGGGCCGGTGCCACTCGGGCGCAAATGATCTCCCTTTCACTTAGTTCCTGTGGGGGGTCCCACCCCCGACCAAAAAACAATGCACCGAAAAGGTGGGTCAATTGAGGAGGAAGGGTTCTAGAACTTTCAAGATTAAGGGAAGTGGCTTCTGCACAAGTTACCCCAAGAAGATGTCCCAGCATCACAGACCTGAAACTCACAGCTATGGTCGCTAAGCCAGGAGGGCTGATCACAGGAGAGGCTGCCCCCAGAGTTCACCCTGCTCTCTGTCTCATGACTGCGCCCCCGACGTGGATGCCCAGGCCTCGCGTTGAACTCTGATTCAGTGGACAGTGAAGGGAGGGGAAGGAGATGCATTCAGTGCAGGGAACCAACTTGAATAAAGCCAGTTTGGATGACAGATCACCTGCTCTGCTACAACCTTGGCCTTAGAGAATCGGCACCATGACACAGCTGGCCCATATCTAGGGATCCCTTTTACCAGGAACACAGAGGGCTTGAAGCGCACGCACTCCCCGCCCCCCAGGACCACTGCCTCCTTTTCTAGGCACAGAGTCCGCCGGAGCTGCCCACCTGCGCTGAAAACCCCAAGGCTGCGTTCTTTCCAAATGTCAGCGCCCCCTCCTTCGGTCCCCGGGACCCCCGGGGATGGGCAGAGTCTGGCCAGACCCGCCTATAAAAGCCAGGAGACCGGCCTCCGTGGCTCTGGCGGCCGGCAGGGATCCTACGCATGTAATGAAGTCGGCACAGAATGTTCCAGCCTTGGTTCTTCTGTCAATGTGGCCCTTTAATGTCGTCGCGTCCCGCAGGAGACACCGTAATACTGTTTTAATTATTTCTGTCCCCCGCTGGGAAACCACCTCCATCAGACTCGCAGCGGCAGAGCTGAGACAGGGGACAGGGGAATCAGTGTTTCCCGAGTCGTGAGCGCTGGCATCCGATTTAATATTAACAACCAGCACGACTGCTCCGATCGACAGCAGGAAGGTGAAAATCGGAGATGAGAAAGGCCTGTCCTGAGAGCTGAGAGCCCAGGAAGGAGGCTGCCGTGTGTGTGTGGGGGGGGGTGGTGACACAGGGCAGGCACCCCCCCCCCGTTTCTCTCTTGAGCCAAAGTGAGCGGGGGAAGGGGCGAACAGCATTCCTTTCAGGGGTGCCCAGTGGGGGATGCCAGCAGGGTTGAAAGCCACACTGGGGAGGAGGGGGGTAAAGACATCATATTCCCCCAATCAGGCCCGAACTGCATCCCCCAGAATCCATATGTTGAAGCTCTAAGCCCAAGTACCTCAGAATGTCACTGTATTTGGAGATGGGGTCTTTACAGAGGTCGGTATGTTACAATAAGGTCATATGAATGGCCCTCATCCATTATGATGGGTGTCCTTGTAAAAGGAGGTTAGGACGCAGACGGGCACAGAGGGGGGGCCACGTGAGGCCATGGGGAAGGGAGGCCATCCGCAAGCCGGGAGAGGGGTCTCAGGGGGAGTCAGCCCTGCCTTAATGCTGGATTTCTGGCCTCCGGAGCTGGGGGACCATCCGTTCCTGTTGTCTAAGTCCCCGCCTGTGGCCCTTTGTTAACAGCGGCCCCTGCAAACTGAGAGACTCCGCTTTTTATAAAAGTTTAAAAAATGCATCTATTCCCAAACAGGGCCCCTGAGATGTATCAAGCAACACTTTAGATCCGGCTCCCGACATAGCCCACTTGGCCGTCACCAAAAAAAAAAAAAATCAGAAACCACTTCAGCAAATCCTGCCTCCTGCACGGTGGCACTGAGGGTCACCCGGGTCTTAGATTTTTGTGCAAACGGTAAAGGAAAAACACTGGCTGGTCAAGCAACGGAATGTGGGGCGGGCCCTCCTGTCCCATCAAAAGCCCCCGGGGCTTTAGAGGGAAGTTTTTAAAACTACAAAACGCTTTTTACTAAAAAGGCCTCTCTTCCAAGGAGATTCCCCCGCCATAGTCAGGCTGACTCATGGCTCCTCAGAGCTGTGGGTGCTGTTCTGATCACCCATGGCCGTGGTCGTTAACTGCTCCATGGAAAGGCTTGCAGGGCGCCCCCGCCCCACAGGCTGAAGGGTGTCGGGGCGGATCAGGGCTGACACGTGTCTCGGCACCGATGGGGCCACATGCCAGCACTGGGGTGCAGAATCCTGCCCACTGTGGGCTACACAGGGGAGCTTAAGAGCAATAACCTGAAGAGGCCGGGTGGCGTGGGGGAGGGGAGGGGTGGGGAACCAGGCTGGCGGGCCTCCCGGCCCCGCAGGGTCTCCGCCGCTCCCTGCTCACTCCAGGTGCTTGTACTTGGTGAACAGGTTGTAAAGAACCCTCAGGGTGGATTTGAGATCCAGGTTCACCACATCTGCGGAAGGAAACAGAGACGCCGTTGGTGGGGCGAGAGCACCCGGGCCCTGGTGCCGGCAGGCGGGAGGGACGGGGCACCTGTCACGTCCACAGCAGAGTGCTTCGCTTTTAAGACCGATAGCCACCCCATCCAGGACGCCCTGGGCAGCGCCATCCCAGGACGCTGGCTGCCGTGAGAGGCCCCAGGCCACCAGCCCTCTCCATGAGCACCTGGGATGGCAGGACAGGTGGCAGGATGCTCCTGCATCCCTTCTAGGACCCGCGTCGGGCAAGTCTGGGGACCAGTGGTGCCTATGGATGTGTGGTCTCCAACAGCCAAGGATGTTTACTGGGGTCCAACACCCACGGGCCAACCTGTGCCAGGACAGAGAGCGGGCCCTCTGGGGCAGGGCGGGGTGGGAGCTGCTGTTCCCTCCTGCCCCCTCAAGGTCAAGCAATGGGCTATGTGACGTGGCCCACGGCAGGACCCTCAGGGGACCCGACAGCCCAGGAGGTCCAGGCTGCCTTCTTTGGTGGGAAGGGCACCTGGGTCTTCTTCCCACCTGCCCTGGGGCCTCAGACAAGTGACCTCCCTGCTCTGGGTCTTTGTTTGCCTATAAAACTGGCCCATCGGATCAGATGATGCCCAAGGCCCTTCTCGGCCGCAGAAAGATCGTGATCTTGCTTTCCCCCTGCAGGTACTCAACCCCAGAGCAAGAAATAGCATGTCTTCCAGAGGAAGGCTGGCTGAGTGGTTGCCGTGAACCAACAACTGTCCTTATACCGAGGCCCAGAGTGTCTCCAATCTCAGCTTGTCAGAGCGGGGAGGAAGCACGGAGAGCCGGCACAACCCTCTTTCCTGCCTTCCCTTTGCAAACGAGACCAAGACTCACCGAGGAGAAAGAGCCTGCCGGCCAGTTTACCCTCACAATGAACTCGAGGGTTCACACATGCACCCAGGGCTCCCAGAGTCTCCCAGGCCTGAGGCTTCGGCTCAGCCACCCCCCAGCCCCCGGGCCGGCCAACACTGCAGTGGGAGGAGACCAGCAGCTACCGAACCAGAGGCAGCCGGCAGGACCGATGCCCTCTGTGAATGGGCAGGTCTGAGGAAGGGGCTGCAGGGGGCTAAGCCAGGCCTGCTCCTAGTTCCCCAGCCTCCCTGCCCTGGTGGTGCCACCACCGGCTGCCCGTGCCTCCCCGCTGCGGCTCGGACCCACACGCGGCATGACCGTGCCTCATCCCTGCAGGGACATCAACCCAACACGCATCAAACTGCGGTAAGCCTTTAATATCCTTGCAAGGCATGAAACAGCATCTCTAGCCTGAGCCCAGCACCTGCAGGGACACACAGATCCCAAGGCTCGTGGGCAGAGGTCATGTCCTCCAAGTCAAGCAGTTACTAAAGACCAGTGTTGGTGGTTCCACCAGCACAGTCCTCCTGGTCCCCGAAGCTAAGGGCACAGGGGGCACAGGAGCTGGGGTTGGTGGGGCTGGGGCGGGGCATTACCTTCAGGGTGAGCCTTGGGTGTCTTGAGCCCTCCGTCCAGCATCAGCTCAAAGGCAAACGCCACGTTGTGGACCTGCCAAGGAAGCAAGAGTAGAATCGGCACATTCCCAGACCCAAGCGGCCCCACGCAGGGCACAGGGTGGGCAGGGGCGTCGGGAGAAGATGTTCACTAGATGGTCCTTACTCCCCTCACCAGGGATCAGGGGGCAGCTCAGAGATGCAGGGCTGAAGGCACAAAGCTTACCCTAGAGGGCTCCGGGGTCTCTGAGTGTCTGCTCTGTCACAGGCCACATGATGAGAAGTGACCGTGACTCTGTCCCTTTTACAGACGAGGAAGCCAAGGCTCAGAGAGGACAAGCCACTTCCCAGAGGCACCCAGCGCTACGCACTGTCCCCAGCACAGAGCGGCCACCCACCATGTGCTGGGAGGGTCTCCCAGAGCTGCATGTGCATTGCTGTGGGCAGGACATTGCTCTCGGGGCAGTGGTGGCCCAGGCACCAGGCAGGCACTGGGGACCCTGCCGGAACAGAAGTCAGCCCAGTGGTGGCTGCAGGGGCAGGCAGCAGGGCCCTGGTCCTGGCCTCGACTTGCTAGATGTCACAGAAGGTGGACACCCCACCCCCACCCCCCACATGGCTTCTCCCTGAAATGAAAAGTACCACTCAGCCCACGAGGATGCTGGAAGCTTGTATTCCACTAACAACTTCTGAAGAGGTTTAAAATAACACCTTCTCTGCTGCATTTATCCACCTGAATCACAGAGACGCCAGGTGATCAACCAAATCACAGCCAACCATCTGCTGGGAGCAAAGGCTGTTAGGGGGTAGGATTGGGGGTGGGCACCAAAAATAAAATAAATCATACAGTCCGAGCTAGAGAGAACCCCGGGGCTCTAAGTCACATATCCTTTCAACAGTAATATCTTCATGATTTCAGGGTAAATGAACCAGAAACATGATCATTTTACTTGTAGTTTAATAATTAACCAGGAAAACGATGTTTGACAAAATAACCCGCTGTTGGTCAAAATCCCAGCAGCTCAGGGACCACGTAGTGGCCTCCAGGACCCTCGGCAGCACCAGCACTCGGCAGGTGGTGCTCGGAGGGGCCCCGTGTGGGGACGGACCCCGCAGGCCCTTCACACCAGGGCTGGGCGGGGCTGCACATGACCAGATGCAGGGGGCCCGGAGGACCCTGGGCCATTCCAGAGGCCCTCTGGAAAAGGCCAAATGGAAAGGCCAAGCAGGGTGTCAGACGTCCAGGTGTACAGAGCCAGCCCAGCCCAGAGGAAGGGCCATGGGGTGCACCAAGGCCACTTTTCAGAGGAGGCCCCGGGGCTGAGACGAGTTAGGACAGGGAGAGACGGCTCCTCGAAATTGCTCGGCGCTGAGCTGGTAGGCTTCCTGAAACCCCACGCCTGCCCCACACCAACAACAGCTCTCGCCCAGACCCACCTCTCCGTAGTGCAAGACTTTCCTTCTGCTTCCTTCTCAGTCTGAGGAAACCACCCGACAGGAAGTCACCGCCACCCTGCTCTCGTCCCAGCCACACCCTCACCTCCACTGACCCCTCATGCCTGCAGAGAAGCCACCCCTGAGCCCAGGCCCCCGGGACAGGGCAGACAGAGCAGCAAACAGCTCCCCGGACCCGAGGGGACCAGGCCACACGCTGTGCCCCAAAGCCCCATGCCACCACTGGGAGCCAGCCACACAGCCAGGACACCCTGAAATCCTTTCCCTCCGCAAGTCAAGGGATTTTTGAAAACCTGACCAGGTGACAGAAGAATAGAAGGTTCTAGAATAGGAGCGGGCTCTTCCACCTCTGCCCGGCTGAATGTGGGAGCTTGGGTTGTCTCTCGGCCCTTCTGAGACCCGTTTCCTCATCCCCAGGGAGGGAATCAGATGAGGGGGTAGAAGGGAAAGCACTTTGAGAATGTGAAGCCCTTTCTTGTATTTGCCGGTAAGAACCTGAGTCTCCAGGACGCATTCCACTCCCCAGAGAGAGGAATGCTGTGGAATCTTCCAGAAGGATGATTGACGGGCACAAGGTACTCAGCAAAGTGGCTCCCATGGAGTAAGATCATAAAACAAAAGCCACGGGTCGTATCCATGTCTCAGAAAGCTCAAAGGGTGCCGTGTGTTTGTGTGCAGGAACCTAGGGGGTCTGGTCTCATTTTTTTTAAATCTAGTGCAATTGTTTTAAAAACACAGGTCATCACTCCGCTGGGGGACAGCAGCCCCTGATACGTGTCCGATTTCGCTCACCGAACCTCTGTGCCCTCCCTCGGGAAACGCAGAGCTGCTGTAGATTCCCAGCACTGGGGCAAACGTGTGGGCCCCGGGGAGATACCCAGTGGGAGGTCCCCTGCAGCCACCACGGCCTGAGAGTTCGGCTGTGGGGCCCAGCCTGGAGCGAGTTCAGGTCTGTGCAGTGGGGAGACGCCACTGCCCGTGAGCCGGTCGAGAGCTAATAAATATGACGAGCTCACAAAGAACTTGCCAGTAGCTGCCATGATGACCATCACTCCCCACGGCGGGCAGGGAGAGAATCCAGGAAGCTGGATAAGAATGCACTGGAATTCCAGCATCCTCCCTGAGCAGAGCCACCCCTTCATGAGCATGAATGGGCTCCCAGCATGCTGGACACTGCCCCTAAAACAGCCTTTCCTTCACGGCTCTCGGGCAGACGCGAAGCGAAGGCAGACGGTCATTCGGACCTCTCACACCTCCAAGGCCAGGGCGGCAACCCACAAAAACTTTCACCCCTGTTGCAAAGGGAATTAAGGCCGGGGCCGGAGAGAAGGCTCCCCGACCCTGCCATGTGCACAGTCTCATCTTGGTAAAAAAAAAAAAAAACAAACACAAACCCAGTTCCGGCCCCTTGGCTCGATTCACCGTTCCTGCCGGCATCATTATTAATTTGAACAAAGGAAATCTCTCTCCCCGAACAATGCTTCTGCAACCAGCCCCGTCGGGCCTGGAAACGCATGAGCCTCTTCCCCACATTATCTGTGTTCTCATTTCCAGAACAATAGCACAGGCACCCTTGTTTCCTGATGGAGTTCTGCTCGCTCCCCTCTGGCTCACGCTCTCCCCATTCGCTCTGGCTCACCCGTGCCAGGCCCTCTCTAATCTGTTCTGATTCCATCTCAAGCAGGCGAGGCAGGAACAACATTTGGCCGCCAGTGAACCGCCTGGAAGGTGCTAGAAGTATGCAGATTGATAAATACTGGCCCCGTTATCGGATGTTTCCCTGGCTGCCACCACCTGCTAGCATTGTCTGCCTCTGTGACTCACGGGTCTAGCACTTTGGGAAAATCCAATGACATGCCCGTGAGTCCAAAGCAATATGGACAGTGCAAAAGCCAAGTTTCTAAAGGCAACGCACTAACTATTGTCTGGACAGGCTGCATTCCGGGGAGCCCTGAGCAGCAGGCCAAACACCCAGGCACAGACAGGGACACGGGGGGCTCAGCAACTCAAATCCAAAGGTTAGGCCCTTTGACCCCAACAATCCTATGTGGGGAATTTCCCCTAGAAAACAATCCACAGGAATGGAGATAGATATACAGAGAGATCGATCAATAGATAGATAGACTCGAGAAGATGCCCTATTATTTTAATGGGGAAAAAAAAAACAGAAACAAGTTAATTGTCCAAGAGTGGGGGGAACAGGGAGACAGTGGTGTCAGAGCCACGGGACTCTGGGCCACGACTGAGGACAGCACTTGGGGAGATCGGAAGCAGCTGGGAAAACCAGAGGTGACATATGCATGGCATCAACAGTGGAAGGATCTGCAAGTCTACAACATCCGACCACCATGATTAAAATTGATACCATCCCATGGGAAAGACCCCGAAGAGAACACGGCACATGGTGCTCGGGTATGTCTGGCACTGCTGATGGGTTTACTTCTATGACTGAGGGTTGGGTTACGTCTCACTGCAGTACCGTTTTGGGGACAGCTTTATTTTTTTGAAGACTCCAGCTAGACTCCAAAAAGGTCATCGGGGGCAGGTCTAGGCTGTGCGCTTTAGCGAGCACGTCCGGGGCTGCTCTGAGGTCTCCATAGACCACACACGTACCTTCTGGTCGAAGCTGTCTGGGGTCAGGTAGAAGTTGTGCAGGGGGACGAAGTAGTCCTCCAGAAGGCCCATGAGCAGAACCAGGTAGACGCCATCTGCAAACTACAGAGAAACACGTGGTGATGTTTCCGGGCTGTACAGGGAGGTGGTGAATGTTCTGCATTCATTCCAAAGAAGGAAAATGTTTTAAAGTATGAAATCCATGCCTCGCTCAGGCATGAACCTGCAATTAGGTGAAGGACCCGGGTGCAGAGCATCTCACCCGGGACTGGATATGGCCATGCATGTGTTTGGGGTTGGAGTGCATCCACGTGGATAGGGCCACGGCTCTGGAAGCAGGCAGCCCGGCCACAGGGCCCGTCCCCCAACTATGGACCTCGAGGTAACACTGGCTCCCATCTCTCAGGGTTGGCACGAGGACCCAGCATACAGTGAGCGCCCCATCAGTGTCAGCTTCTGGAATGATCCATCCTTGCATGACCTGCAGGGTGCCCTATGCTTTGGTTTGGGGTCTGCTGCCCTGTTCCACCTGCTCACTTTGTCAGCTGTCCGAGCACCTTTTTCTAGCAATGCTCACAGCGCCAGACACTTTCCCCTGCTTGAGCCCCGGTGACCATGAGCCTTTGTCCATCTAGACGAGCCTCTCAAGTCCATCCCAGCTGGGCCCTGAACACCGGGCGGCACTGGCTCAGGGAAAGGCCTGCAGGCTACAGCCCTCAATCCAGACCCCTCTCCCTGCCACCCAGCCCAGCAGCGCCACCCATCCACAGGAGGACGACCAGGAATCTAGAAGAAAAGGCCCCACTCTTTGGCAGACAGCCCTCCCCCACCCCCAATAAGCCAGGGAACAAGTACTCCTTTTAAAGATAAAGCAATGGAGACCAGTAAAAGCCCCACAGAGCACAGAGATGGCATCTCTGAGGGGCCGAGACTTGCTGGGGTCTGCTGCACGGCCAGTACCTGAGAGGACCCCAGCCTCCAGATGTCTCAAACTGTGCCATCCAACATGACCGCCACTGGCCACATGTACCTATTGAAATTAGACATTTTTTTGTTTGAATGTTGCTGGTTTATTCTTTTTCCTGTGGTAAAATACATATAACATGAAGTCTACCATTTTAACCATTTTTAAATATCCGGGTCACTGGCATGAAGTCCATTCATACTGTGTGCAACCAACCATCCATCCATCCATCCATCCAACCAACCATCCATCCATCCATCCATCCAACCAACTATCCATCCATCCATCCAACCAACCATCCATCCATCCATCCATCCATCCATCCAACCATCCATCCATCCAACCAACCATCCAATTCTAGCACTCACATCATTTTGCAAAACCGAAACTCTGTGCCCATTAAACACCAACTCCCCATCCCCCTCCCCCTGGCACCCACCACTCTGCTCTGTCTCTCTGAATTTGCCACAAGATTTATCCTTTTGTGTCTGGCGTATGCTGACTTTTTTTTTTTTTTTTTTAGTCATGATAAAAAATACATAAAATGTACCATATTAATCATTTTTAAGCATACAGTTCAGTCTTAAGTACATTCACGCTATTACGTAACCAAGTTCCAAAACTCTTAAACTGAAAAAATGTCTAAATTAACGAAAATACAAAATTCCGTTCCTCAGTCACACCAGCCACATTTCAGGTGCTCAGCGGCCACCCATAGCAGGCAGCTCCTACAGCAGACGCGTGCCGACAGGACCCCTCCATCACTAAAAGGAAGCCCTCTTGGCCGGCGTGGTCCCCTGGTCTAGAAGAGCGCCACGCAGGACAGCAGGACAGCCGTGAGGGGCTGGGCACCTTCAGCTCCGGAGACTGATGAGCCGAAGGAGGACTTTACTGAAAATAGCAGCTCCCTCCACCATCCTTGGCAGGCCACCAAGGCCTCCGATTTAAAGATGAAAATTCCAAATCACAAGTGTCCAGTATCACCATGTTGAAAGGGGAAGGAGAGCGAAGACACAAAGCGCAAGGCAGAGGGACGCCGTCCTTCCCGGGCCTGCCGAGGACAGCCCTCTGGTAGAGTGTGCTGGCAGGACTCCCCCCACTGACACCGAGCCAGCAACAGGCCCAAAGAAACCGGCTCTCTCCACAGCATGGGCCCATTCCCAGGCCGTCCACGAATGAAGATCCCACCCCCAGCACCTGCCCGGGAGGTGTAGGGAGCCTCTGCTCCCTTCCACGGCATCCCCAAACGCAGCCCAGGCCCCCTCGTGCATGGGGCGGTGGGAGAGATGGTGACTGCAGAGGAAGGCAGGGGAGGGAGAGGGGCGCCCAGGAGAGTGAGCGCCAGGAGAGCACAGCGGCTTATCAGCAAACCGACCCTCCAGCTCACACTCCCGAGAGCACACATCAGTCCTGGGTGGACTGATCAGTCTGTGCTCTAGCGCAGACCCCCATGGTTGCCCCATGGCTCCCATGGCACTGTCTTCATCGATACCCAGCTTGTACAGGCATAACCTCCATTAAGCCTCCCTGTACCTGCTGCCCCTTCCACATAAGGAGAGAAGCTCTGAGAAGTTGAGTAGCTGGCTTGGTATCACACAGCTAGGAAGTTGCCCAGAATATAGAAGTGGTTTTACAAAGGAGGGAAAAAGACATGAATGCGCGCATGCGCGCGCACACGAGCGCGCACACACACACACACACACACACACCCGAGCAGTGCTTTGAGCCCAGGTCTCCCTGATGATGAACATTATTTATAAAAATACCTCTTTTCTGCTGGACCACTGGTTAAAAACACTTATAGGATACTACTTTAAGTGTGGTGATAGAGAAAAAAGGAGACACTGGGTACATCCAGATCAGTGCAAACTGAGGTGCAGAGTCTCGGTCCGGGGTGTCTGGTGACTCCTGCTGGCATGTGGGCCGAGCAGGAAGTAAGAGTCGGCAATGGCTCGCAGGGCCCAGGACGTTCAGGCGGGCAAGCCTTCCTGGGCCCTCAAAGCATCACTGCCTTCCAGGAATGTGTCCTGCTGAAGCAGACAAAGGCACCAGCAGCTGAGTACAGAGAGCCCCTGCACCGTCTGCCACGAGAGTGGGAAGCGCCCCATCATGAGGAGCAGGCTTCACGCGGTGCACCCGGACGGAATAGAAGGCAGTCCTCAGAGGTGAGCAGTACGGACAGACCAACAGACCGGGCAATGGAAAAAGGACGAGATGGAATCACGCACACAGCCTCCAACAGAAAGATGCCGATGATAAAATTACATAAGAAAGAACACATATGGAAAGAGCTGCACGGTATGATCCCCTGTCATTAACAAAATATACTTGTGCATATAAAACATCTAGAAGAGCCCACATCCAACCATTAACTGCAGTCAGGTAGGTCTGGAGAGGATGAAGAGGGGAGACGGTGGAGAGGGAGAAAGGACTGTTACTTTTAGGTTAGGACACTTCGGGACTGTTAACATACCGAACGGCAAGTATCAGAGGCTAAGTGTGCAATGTTCATAAACTGCGACAAATGATGCACAAGTAAAACATACTCATTAAAAATGGTCCATTCGGCTTTCCAGGACAGACCCGTGCAGTCCGTGATTAGCCAGCCAGGTGGAGGAAAGGTCCGGAACAAAACCCTCAGCACAGTAATCTCTGGGCATTGGGATTAGGAATGATTTTTGTTTTGCTTATCTGCATTTTCAGACATTCTACAATGAACCTGAATTACTTTTTTAATTAGAAAAGCAAATAAGAAAAGGCAAAGAAAGAGACAGGAACGGAGGCAATCACCCAGGGGTTTAAGAAGGATCAGCTGGGGGTTAGAGGAATCTGCACCAAGAACTGTAACAACTCCGAATTCGAGCACCCAGCTAATCCTGGGAAAATTATATTTTGTGCTTTGATGCCTGCTGAGTGCTTGAAACATTTTCACTATGCTGCATGAGCATTGAGTGGAGTGGGGGAGTATACTTTACATACTTCCTGCAGAAGAAATATTTTGTGCACACTCACTGGACAGGTATTCGGCGAGCACTTGCGCAGTAAGCATGGCGATGGAGAACAGAAGCGGGGTGGGGGGGAGGGCACAGAACGTTCTAGACTGAAAGAATTGCACCTGCCAAGGCCCTTCAGTGGGGGAGGTGTGACGCATCAGAGGGTGTTAGGGTGGAGCTGTGTCCCCCTAAAAAGATGTGTTGGAGTCCTAACCCGCAGAACCTGTGAATGTGACCTTATATGGAAGAAGTCATTACTGAAAGTAATGGAGTTAAGATGAGGTCACCAGGATGGGCCCTAATCCAACAACCAGTGTCCTTACTAAAATGGAAAATCTGGACACAGACGCACACACGGGGGGGAGTGTCCCGTGACCATGAAGGCAGGGATCCCAGCAGGGCGTCTACAACCCAACAGAAGCCAAGAATCACCAGCAAAACCCCGCAGTGCGGGGAGAGGCCTGGCACAGAGACCCCCTCACAGCCTCAGAAGGAAACAGCCCTGCCCACATGGGTCTGAGACTCCAGCCTCCAGGATGGGGAGGATGCAAACGTCTGTGGTTTAAGCCGCTCGGTCTGTGGGACTTGGTTCCAGCAGCCACAGGAAATTAAGACAGAGGGCCTGAGAGAAGGCCAGAAAAGCTGGGCTTTGCCGTCCCAACTGCCAGGTGGCCATTCCCTGTCAGACGAACAAGATGGCGCCTGCCGCCCAGGATCGGGCAGCCGGCTGAAAACACGAACCCCAGAGCACTGCTCACCTGGGTCTCCAGTTCCGTCACCTCCAAGTTCAGCTTGTTCAGGTGCTTGTTCACAAACGTGATGAGAGACTGTGAAGGCAAAGACACAGGAGCCGTGAGTGAGAGAGTCCGCTCATCCGTTCCCATCCGACGGGATGGATCAGACATTGGGCATCACCGGCTTTGTCAGACGCTCCTGTCATCTCCTCCGTTTGCTAAAATAAAAGACTCGGGTTCTCACAGCGACCCTTGGTTTTAATGGAATAATGCCCCCATCTACCCCCGCTGGAGAAGAACGTGCATCTCTGTCCGCCAACCCGGGCGCACACGAGCTCATCCACACACACGTACATATTTAACAATCCTGTAGAAGAACAATCAGCTCCTCAAGAAGGATAAAACCGTCAGGGGGAGATGACTGGGTTTTTAGATGCGTCCTAGATGCAACCTGGAATGAGAGAAGGCTGAACTGAGGGGCCACACTCATCCGCTTCAGTGACCTGTGTAAGCTTGATCTCAGGGAAGCAGGGCCACCGGCCTCTCCTCTCTAGCAAAAGTTTAAAACTTGTCACCTGTAACTTTTCTCACCCAGCAAACCCAGCTTCAGGGGGACGCAGCCACACCCCACCCCACCCCCACCCCGCGACACGACTGCCTTTCCTTATTCCTGCTACTCAAATTTACTGAGCAGCTACTACGTGCCAGGTACTCTGCCTGGCACCGCGGACATGAAGACGGCAAGACAGGGTCCCACCTGGAGAGCCTGTGGCATAGTTCTCCATACATGTACCTGGTGGGGATGACAGAGGAATCAAGGGCCAGGCCCACCATGTGAGATGTGCCACGGAGGGGAGGTCTGCTGAGCACAAGGAGAGGTGTGTGTTCCCCCGCAGGGTGCCGAGGGAGGGAGCATCCGAGTGGGGCTGCGGGGCAGGCCAAATGGGAGATGGGAGTGGAGGGGCGGGTAGGGCAGGCACCCAGGCCCCGAGCACCTACACAAACACTTCGGGATCTTCAGGTCTCCAGGGTCCCCCTGCTTTTATCCTGGGGTAAATGAGCCACCAACACAGCAACTCTCAATGTGGGGGTGTGGAAGGGCCAGGCTGGAAGCAGGAAGCTGTCAGGCAGATAAAAGGATTGTGTCTTGTTCGTCCCTAGTGCCCAAAATACGTCTTTTCAAAGAATAAATTAACATCGTATCTCTGAAAGACAGACCTCATGCCATGCCACGGGCTACCCAACGCTACCCAATGTACTGTGCGCTGGGCCTTTGCACGGACGTGACGACATTTTACTCTCACAGCACCCCTGAGAGGTGGGTCCTGCCTCAGTCCTGATAGGTGGGGAAACTGAGGTAGGAGTTATAATCTGCTTCAGGTCATACAATTGATAGGTGGGGGGCGGGGAGATTTGAATCTTCTTGTGCATTCACGGATGGGTTCTGTCAGGGTTCCTGGGAGCCAGATGTGGCAGGGGTAGGGGTTGGGGGGCACTGTTCAGAGGCCCCGAGGTACATCACTCATGACCCAAGGATGCTAAGAAGGCTCCACCCCAGAAGGACCACTGGGATCGTTCTGCTAGCCTTTTGCAAAGTGCTTCCAAGAACTAATAATCTCATTGTCCCAGGCTGGGCCAGCATTTTCCAAAAGTAGTTTCCATGGGAATTTAATACATTCAATCACAAGATAAACAAACAGATCAAACCATTGACAAACAAGTTTGGAAAATCCTTCCTACCAAGTCCCCTCTTGGAGAATTCCAAACGCATGCCAGCATATTAAAGGTCCTGAGAAGTCCTGCATTAGGAAACCTGTTCTGGGCAATTGTGCTAGACAAAGAGCTCTCTCTCCTAGGGCATGGACAGAAATGACTGCTCCCTGGATTTTTTACAGGGAGGTGGAAAGTCCATCCATCTTCCCACTGCCTCCCCAAGTGAGATGTCTGCAGGCACTCAGATAACTCCACAGGCAGAGAGCTGAGTCTTGATTCCTTCTGGGTGAGAACAAGCCCTCCTGGCAGATCCCCCTGGAAGCTCATCATTCCCCAGCCCCTGACTCCACAGCCTCAGTTCGCATGTTTTTTTTTCTGTTGTTTCCATCCGTAGCCTACATGTAGGCTGCCTGGGCTGATGAAGGGCCTGTCCTTGCGCTCCTTTGTGGAGGGAAATGGGCCAAATGCACGCACGGAGCAGCTCAGCCGGCAAAGGCCTGCCTATGTACCGGGCAGGTTGTGAATACAGCCTCGTGGTAATGGGGCCTGCAAGAGCCAGCAGGCTGACACACTTAAAAACATTTCCACATTGAGAAAAAGCCTTGAGTCGGAATGAAGGGCCACGGTGGTGCCTGGGCTGGCTAATTCACTCAACAGAAGCGGGCGGGTGGGCAGGAAGATACCCAGGGAGCAGAGATGTTGAGTTAAAAGGTGCTAATTTTATGCACTGTAGTTACGTTTTTGACTATAATTACACTTCAATCCATGTGGCAAACATTTCAGAGATTTCAAACATGTTCCCACCTTCTTCCCGGCATGGAGTGCATGCTGTAGAACAGAAGCCCGGAGACAGAGGGAAGCAGCCCAGCCCGGAGCTTACCTTCTTCACCACGCTGAGCTTGTCTGGGGCGTGGTCAAAGAGGGTGTCGAAGGCGTCCCGCTCTGCGTGGGCAAGTGGAGAGGCACAGGCAGGGTTTATGGAAATGTCCCCGCCCGTCCCGGGGACCAGGCAGCTCCTGACGTCCCGGGATGTCCCGCCCCTACGCTCCCCACCCACCTAGAATCCTCTTCATTCCCGCCAGAACCCAAGGGCAGGTGCGGTCGAAGAGCAAAATCAAGGAAAAGATGCTTCTAGGTCCCCCCCCCACCCCGTTTCTAGCCTGTAATGTGAAATTCACAGGTGGCACTCGGACACCCGCCCATGACATCCTCGACATGAGGCATCCCTTGCCCGCCGCTCTCCTTCCCCACACTCCTTGCGTACCAGTAAATCTCGCTGGTGCCACCGAGCATGTCTCCTGATCGGCACGGCTGCCAGCCCCACACCAGCCCCACAGCCCTCAGCGGCTGCAACCTCCTGCTTTGGCTGGCCTCCCTCCTCCACTCCCGGCCCTCTGATCCCTTCTCCTAGCAGGAACACTGTAGACTGGATCAGTTCTTGCCCCTCCCTACCCCTGCCGCCACCAAAACTCTCCAACCGCTTCTCATCACTCCTAGAATAAAATTCATTCCCTCTCCCGTGACCCATGGGATCCAGTGGGTGCAGTCACCCCCCAACACATGCACCCTCCCTGACTTCACTCCACCAACCGGCTCCCCGGCTTCTCCTCCATCACACACCCACCACAGGGCCTTTGCACCTGCTGTTCACCTGCCACACTTCCTCCAGCTTGCTCTCAGATGTCACCTCCTCTGAAGGGCCTTCCATGACCATCCACATCTAGAAGAGTGCCCCACGCCCGCTACCTGTCCTCTGACCCTAGCACACTTCTCAAAGCACTTGATCACTACTTGAAAGTACATCTTATTATCACGTATCTGCTGGACAGTAGCTGCTGGTCTCTCAGCTCCGTGCTGGCGGAAACCACTGCTCGCTTGTTCCCTCCACTGCCTCAGAACGAATGAACAAACCAGGAAACCCTGCTCCAGAATCTCTCTCCAGCAATCCTTCCAGGGGTGTCCCCCTCTGTGGGAGCACCTACAGGGCCTGAGGCGGCCTGTTCCGTCATGTCCCACCCAGCCTCCTTCTTCCCGGTGAGCCCCAACCCGCTCTGCTACTCGAGGACCCAGCCATGCGCTCCAGATCAACACAGAATCCATCCCTTCCCTTTCCAACGTGAGGCCACCAGAAGCCAGGTCAACATGGCTCTCAGTGGGTAAGAAGGAGCCGGGTGGGCCAGGAGCCGGGTGCCTGGTTCTAGGCTGTTGTTGCCGTGATGGGGCCTCATGGAGGCAGGACAGAAGCCTGCTGCAGCCCAGAGTCCAGGCGGGAAGACTGAAGCCTCAGAGTGGATGCAGACCTATGGGGAGTCACTGGCGGGGTAGAGAGGGAAAGGGAGGAGGGCATCTGGAAGGCCCTGGGGCCCTGACTTCTGTCTTCCAGGAGCCAGCTGTCCCCGCAAGGTGTTGGGGGCAACATATGCTCCAAGGACCTCAGCCAGCAGACAGACCCACTATTACTAGCAGGGGCTTGAGGGCAAACCCCAGCATGGAATTCTGGGGGCTGGGGAGTCCAGCCAGATTGGGTGGGGTGCGGATAGGAAGCCTCCACTGCCTCTCTGGAGATGGTCGAGAGCCCAGAACAAGAGCTGACCCAGGGCCTGCTTCAGGACTGCCTGGCCTGGCCCATGGAGAGGGAGAAGGAGGGAGAAATCAGAGAGAAGAGAGCCTGATACCCAAGTAAGCCAGAGAACCAGGTCTCCTGGAGGAAGCGTCCCAGCCCTTCCCCCCAGCCTGGCCCAAAAGGAAGGCACTCGGGTGTCCAAGGTCTAGTGTGTGGGGAGGCAACTCACAGCCCCAGCCCAGCCCAGGTAGCATCCTCCTTGGCCTTGGGGTTGGGGAGAGGGAAGGTGGGAGGCAAAGAGGAAGGGAGAGGTGGAAGGGCTGTGTGTGTGCAAGCATGTGTGGTGTGTACATGCACACCCATGTGGGGGCATGTGTGCGCATGCGTGCATGCACGGTACACACAGTGCGTACGCACGCGTGCATGGGGGTATGCATGCACGTGTACAGTGTGTGCATATATGCACCCATGCATGCAGGTGACGTGTGTGTGTGTACGGCATGCATACACACGCGCGTGGGGGTGCGTGTGTTCAGGGGTGAGGACCGCCCAGCTTCCTTCTAAAAGCCAACAGCAACCGAAAGGCCCGACCCCACAGAGTGCCCCTCCTCCAGCTTTTCTACCAAGGCAGCTGTAAATTATTTTTACAATCATTTAAGTCAGATTCCAGTCAATACGACAGCCTGCTAACGGCGGGGGGGGGGGGGGTACTAAATCTTTACAAAGCAAAATACAAACTTTAAATGCAGCTTGAGAAAAACCCTGGGAGCAGAAGAGAGCTTGACGTCAGCCGGGTATATTTAGCTGGGCCACCGCTGGGCTCACAGAGCGAAGGCGTGCAGGGGAGCCATGGGAGGGTGTGGAGGCCTGCCGCCCCTGTGCCGCCCTTACCTGCAGCCAGGGCTCAGGAGCAGCACCGCCCAGCCAGCTTCTGCCGCACCCCTGCGGTAAGCCTGGCCTCGGGAATTAAAATAGCTCCCGGTCGCCCGCCTTCAAAGTGCCGGGACTTCAGGCCACTTGCTTCCTTCCCTAACCCTGTTTCCTCCTCCGTAAAATGGGAGTAAATAGTCCCCAGCTCACGGCTGGTGTTAGAATGAAACACATGGTGCATCAGGGGACAAGCCCACCGCCTGGCAAGCGTGGCGCTGGGGCTCGGGCTCAGTTCATTCGATGCCCTCTGACTCCAGCCCTCCCTAAAGTCTCTCTGGAGACTCTGGGGACAGTCACAAGGACAAACAGGGAGGGACACAGGCTGGGTGGAGGCAGATGGGTAAACTGAGGTAGCAAAAAGAGGACAGGTAGCCAACACAAGCCAGAAAGGACACAGAAAGGGGCTGAGTCAGCCGGGACGGGCCAGTGTCTGCCCAAGCGCAGCCCTCACAGGTGGGAACTTCAGTCCAAATAAAGTGGTTTTGTTTCACGTTTCTAAAATATAAATTGGAATTTCTGGCTTGTCTGCAGGAACTGGAAGTGTGGCAACACTGAGCCCGCATCCCTGCCTGCCTGGCATCAACGCGCCGCCCATGGAAGTGGGGGTGCGGGCTCCCCCAGTCTGCCCCACCACCACCCCACACAGAGGCCAAGGGGCAGAAGACCACTAGGGTTCTAGCCACTTCTCTCGTTCATGTTGGCAGCCTGGTCCCTGGAGGTACCCACAAGTCCGGGGCCCATGGACAAAGGGCCAGGGGACGGAGGGAGGCGTCACGTGAGGCTGAGCCGGGGTTTGCTGGGACAAGAAGGGGAGGAAGGGCGTTCCAGACAGAGGGAACAGAAAGCGCAAAGAGAAGCACAGGAAAGCCAGGGAGGGTTGCAGGCCGTGTGGCCTGTGAGGGAGGCTCAGAGCGACTGGGTCCCGCAGGGCGAGGAGGCCCCGAGAGTGGTGGCCGGAGGCGGCACAGGTGGCCCAGTCAGGCTGCGGTGGGGGCAGAAGCTCTGCTGGCAGAAAAGGAGGAGACCCGAGGAGGAGATGGGGAGTGAAGGAGGAGAGCTTCTTCCCACTTCTCCCCTGTCCGGAAGCCCAGGGCAGGGGAGGGGCCGCCCGCGGAGGAGATGCAGATGCATCCAGCAAGCCCGTTGCCATGGAGACCAGGCAGCAGCGCCCAGCTCCTCTGGGGAGATGGGCCTCCCAGCCCACCTCAGCCAGGACAGGGATGACTCAGGGAAGGGGGGCTTCTGGAGGGGGCAGGGCAAGCCCTCCCTCCCGAGCTCAGAGTGCTCAGGTGAGAAATGAGCACAGAACAGGACCCCCTGCCAAACCCAGTAAGCAGACACGAGCCAAGGAAGGTCTACCTGGTATTGTGGAAGCGCCTGGAATATCTGCGGCCCAGGGCTGGCGGCTGCGGGGGATGCACGCTGAGGAAGACACAGCTCCAGCCCACAGGATGCTTACAGTCAAGAAGCCATGGGTGAGGGGCCGAGGGTCCCCAGCCTGTCCTAGCACCCCGAGTCTGCCAGGCAGCTCCCTGTGAGCACCGGCAAGTGAAGTAAAGAGACAGGCTGGGCGGAGGCAGGGCAGTCAGGGAAGGCCTCCTGAGAAGGAGCTGAAGAGTGAGCCATGGGGGAATCCAGAGGGAGAGCATTCCGAGCAGAGGGCACTGCAAGGGCAAGAGCTGGAGGGAGCATCCTGGGGTGCTCTTGGATGAACAGGGGAGGAGGCGAGGGGCAAGCAAAGGGGGGGTCTGAAGGGCTGGGAGGCCACCTCCAGGGCTGTGGCTTGAGCTTAAGCCAAGGTGGACAGTAAGGAGGAGTGAAGGGTTAAAGGGGTGCCTTAGGAGAAGCCTGACCCCCAACTCAAGGGGCAAGCCGGGGACCAGGATCCGGGGGGGGACAGAAAGGAGGTCCAACCTTGGTGGGCAAGGGGCTGCAGGGGCCCCGGAGGGTTTCACGGGAGAAGGGCCGGCAGAGGCCCAGCTGCAGCAGAGGCTGCCGGTCTGGGTACCCAGGGGACCTCGGCGCTTGCGCCAGCAGAAGCCGGGGGCAGAACTCACCACCTGTCACCCGCTAATAGCCTGCTCACGTTTCCTAAGCAGGGTGAGCCTATAACATAATAACATTCACCGGCGTCTCGTGGTTCCATGGCCCCGAAGGCTCACGCGTCTCCTGTGCTCACCGGCACAGTGGCTGAATCCATTTTTCATACTGTGACACCGGGCTCTTTCCCAGCGAGTTGCCACCCTGTATCCCAGACCCTAACGCATTGTTCGCAGGGCCGCGGGGGCTTCTCGGCCCAGCTCCTGCCCCCTCGAAGCGGCACACAGCCCCCCGCGGAACGGACGCCCCCCGGGTCCCCCAAACCTCGAACTAGGCCTGTGCCAAACAGGGACGGGACATCGCCCAGCAAATCAAAGACATTTAATGATGCTCTGATGGCCCCCCTCAGGCACAGGGCCTGACGCCTTGTCCTCTCCGGGAGCCCATGCCGGCCCCACTCCCCACTGCCTTTTCTCTCCCTTTCTTTAAAAATAACGAAGACACGTGAAAAGGACTGGATCGCTACTTAAAAACTGTGAAGATGGTAAATTTGCCCAGCGCGGCCTTCAGCCTACTGCAGGAAGTTTGAGGACATCACCGGGAGCCACGTCCCCTCTTCACAACCAAGCAACAGTGGCGTGCCACGGGTTCCCATGATACCCGTGAGGGAACGGGGCCCTGTGGCCAGGCCCGTGGCTGACTCCGGGGTGGCACCCCTCCCCCCAAGAGCTGCAGGACCAGCTCCAGCTGGGCAGGCTCGAAGGGCACACAGGGAAACTTCTACTTGGCTTCCACTTCCCCTGCTAACAGCTGTGCTCACTGCAGAAGGTGGTATTTGGGGGTGGAGGGCTTTCTGTTTTGAAATATCCCCCAAAGCAATGAGTTTCACTCACATGGCCTCTGGCTGCAACAGAGAGCGGGGGGTGGGGTACGGGGACGGGACAACACACTCCCCACCCCGAGGGTTTAAATGCGGCCCCAAGCTGTCCTGTGATCTGCTACCCCTTGCTGAGATGAAGATGGGGTCATGCTGCTTGGCACAGGGTCGGGAACAGCTCTTTGGGAACAGTCACTGAAACTAACGGGAATAACCACCCTCCCACCCCCCACTACGCTCTTCTTCTCCCCACCCCCGCCGCCTGTGGCAGGTCGGAGAAGCAGACAGACCCCAGGGGGAGCTACAGGAGACCCCACGGGGTCCTGCGGGCCCTGACCCCCATGGGACAGCGCGTACCCACGCATCCGGGAGCTTCCTGCCACAGCCCCAAAGTGCCCGTGACCTCGGGCCCCCCACCCCCACAGGTACTTACCGAAGCGACCCATCATCATCCTGCAAATGAGAACAGAGAGAGAGAGAGAGCTGTCAGTGGGTCGCTCAGAACACAGTGTGGTGAGGTCCTGATGAAGGGAACCCCAAATTGCCCTGTTGAAGGGCTTTTTGTAAAAGTGTAAATCCTGTTTTAACAGATTCTCTGTCCCTCTAATTACAAACGACAAGTGCGTGTGTGGATTTCTAAATGTCTGCACAAGATCGGCAGCAAGCAGCCACCTTCAGTTAAACCACCCCTTTAATGCCATTTTGGGGGAAATTTAAATCATGGGAGCAGTTAATAGGCAGCACAGTTCAGCAGAAAATGGGGTCTTCTGGAGCCGCTGAATGGGAAGCTTTGAAGTCCAAGGGTGCAGATTACCCAAGGGTCCCGCTGTGGTGAGCAAGCACGCTGTACATTCAGGGATCAGGAAACTTAGGGATGCTGAAGAATCACAGACTGGGACCCTGAGTCTAGCAGGCAGAGGCTGAAACCACCAGGCACAGAGGCTAGTCCCTCCATGAGGACTGCGAGGACCCCAGAGCACAGGTCCTCCGTGCATGAGCCCCCTGAGAGGCAAGGAAGTCTCTCTATCATCCCCAAATCCCTCTAGACTCAAGTCCCCTTAGGCTCCATCTTATTTAACAACATTCTCTTGAGCAGCCACTATGTGCATGCCTGGAAATACAGAAATAAACACCCCGTTCCCATAAACCCCATGGCCCTGCCCATAAGCCCACATTTCAACACAGCCCATGGTGTCACATATAGGAGACGCTACGGGAACTAAAAGGAAGTCAGCCCACTTGTGTTTGGCAAACAGGGAGGGCTTCCTGGAGAAGGGGACCTCGGAGCTGGCTCTAGAAAGAGAAATGGACAGGAGGCAGAGGCTAGACAGAAGGTGGGGAGAATCTCTGGGGCTGCGGGAGGGTGGGCCGCCAGAGCACCAAGGCCAGATAGAGCAGGAAGGCCAGGAGGCAGGTGGGGCAGTACTTTGTGGTTTTTGCAGACACCTGATGATTTAGATTCTCCATCCAATCCCCTATGGCCACACAGAGGGGGAGGGATTGGGGAGAGCAAGTCCAGAGTCAGGGAGACCAGGCAGGAGGCTGAGTCTGGGGCCACACAGTACTTCCTACAAGCTGCCTGGGCTGGAATTCACATTTCTACAGACACGCCTTTCTGGCCAGCTAGACCGCCAGCCCTTGTCCCAAACCCCTTAGCCTCTCGGGCACCCAGCACAGCGCCCGGCACACAGGAGGCCCTCGTGCTGGTGACTGCTGTGAATTGTCGGGGCCGTTCGCCCACCCACTAGCCCCGACTCCAGAGCTCCCAGATCCCCCAGCTGCCCTCCCTCAGGTCACCAAACCCCATGGGAGACTGCAGGAGGTGGCCACGCTCCTTCCCAGGGCTGCATGCCCGCCCGCTGCAACGTGCCCAGCAGTGCGTCTCCCCCTCTCCGACCTTGGATGACCTTGTGTCTTGCTCTGACCCACAGAATGTGAGGACACTGTGCGGGGGCGGGGGGGGGGGCAGAACCCTGAGGGCACCTGGGAGGAAGCCCAGCTCCCTAAGGACGAGGCACAGGTGCAGGAACAGAGGCCTGCCACCAGCCAGCACCAACCACCAGACGAACTGAACACCTGCCCGGCTGAGCCCGGCCCGGTCTGACCCACAGCACTGTCAGCAGATAAAGGGACTGTCGTTTTAAGTCGCTTGGTTTTGGGATGGTTTGTTACACAATTATGGATAACTAAGGCACCACTCCACTCCTCATTCCCCTCCTCCTGCTCCCAAACAGGCCAGGCCTAACAGCCACTATAGACCGGGCTGAGCACCGGGTCCCTTGTCCCTCATGCCGCCCCTCCCCCACCCCCAATCCCCATGGGCTTGGAACAGACGTGCTGCCTATCAGGCCACATGGCAATGGTTCCCCAGTTTACCCAGCAGCTCCCACGCCAGAAGCGGTCTCCCGTGTCAGCCTGGATCTGTGAAAGACCAGACGTCAACTGGTGACCCAGTAATTAATCACTCCATGAATGGAGCGGGAGGGTTCACAGCGACAATCAATCTTTAATGTTCTGTTTCATCTGAACCGGGTTTGGTGGAGAGGCACAAATGCAGTGAATTTTAAAGATCCTTACCAGGGTGTCATGGGGGCGCCTAAAAGCTACACGCAAAATAGACCATTTGATTTGCCATGTTCAATAGATTTGAAGCCTTTTAGACTTCTTAAAAGTTGCCCTCTGGCTTTCTCTAAGAGATGAGCGACGGCTCAGCTCTCTCTCAAAGGGAAGTTCTAGTTCAGAAGGGTGGCTCCCTCTCCAACGGAGCTGAGGCACGGATGGATAAATGAGCCGGGACAAGGGGTCCCTAACCATTCTGAACACCTCCTCCCCCCACCTAACATTCTTGAAGTTCGCCTTCTAAAATAAGGAATAAACGTCCAAAGGCTTCGGAGAAGAAATCCATCCTCACACGGAAAACTCTGAAGACGCTAGCATACCTACCCTACAAAAGCTCAATGTTTTAAATTCCCCTTAGCCTTTTCTTCCTAAGAGATTCTGAATGGGATCGGTTATATTTTTACTTGCTTATCATTCTCGGTGCCACTCCAGAAAAGATTTCGGGCAGCTTCAGTATGTTCTAATTCCTGTGCCGCACGTAGTTTGTGTATTTTTCTATTTGGGAGAATTTCTCATTTAAATACCATACCAAACCAAACTGCTATCTTGCCCTTCCTCACCAGAGAAGAGGAAAAAACTCTTTGAAAAAAGTGCATGCAGGCCGTAAAGCCAGGACAGCGCTTGTGTGAAAACCTCATCCTTGGGTTGAGCGACGAGTGTGGAAATGGGCCCCTGCGTCTGCGCGGGTCCCCAGGGGGGGGTCCACTTACTCCGTCGTTGTGGTCAGCTCCTCCGTGACATGGCTGGAATGCAGCAGGCCTTCCCGCTTCTGCAAACCCCAAAAAGAACAAATAAATACATAAACACGTGGGCAGGCAGAGGGGACGGGAGAAGGGACACCACTGGCAGGGTAGCTGAGCTGTGTGCAGACGGCCCTGGGGCCAGACCACCTTAGGGGCAGCATCCAAGCCACGCCCACGGGGGCGGACTGCAGGTGACCACAGGGGGTGACCCTTTTGGTGGCTGGAAACTGCCCCCTCCCATCCCCTCCCCGTAGGCTCTCCACGTTGCTCTGAGAGCCGGCAGCTGGGGGGAGGGGGTCTCAGGAGAAACACCCTAGCTCCCAAAGGGATCCCCTACGCCGTGCAGCTGGGAAAGGTAAGGGGCACAGGGAACCCACATAACATAGGGAAGTACCCAGTGTAAGAATGTGCGCACTTGGCTAAGTAGGGTGCGCCCCACCCCCCGAAGTCCTGACAGTTCCAAACCTCAGAACGTGACCTTGTTTGGAAACAGGGTGTCTGCAGATACAGCTAGTTAAGATGAGGCCATAAGGGGCTAGGGCAGGTCCTAAATCCAACATGACTGGAGTCCTTATAAGAGAAAACAGAGCCACAGACACACACAGGCACAGACGGAAGAGGCCGAGGGACAACAGAGGCCAAGCCCGGACAGATGAGTCTACAATCAGGAACGTGGAGGACTGCCTGCAGCCACCAGAAGCAGGAAGGGGGAAGGAAGGATCCTCCCCTGGAGGCTTCAGAGGAAGCGGGGCCCTGCCAACTCCCCGAGTAGGACTTCTGGCCTCCCTAACGGTGAGGGGACAATGTCTGTTGTTTCAAAACACCCACGTTATGGTATTTTGCTATAGAAGCGCTAGGACATGACACTGTGTGTGACGGACTTCTCCGGAAGCCCCACAGGTGTGAAGACGCAGTGATGGTGGCGGGGTGGGGGGGTCGGGGATGGGGGGCAGCCTGGACATCCCCGGACCTCAGGGTGGTGCCCGGCAGCCAGCTAATCCAAGCACTGCAAGCCCCTACGTGAACCCCTCGAGAAACGGCGAACTCACTTCCCACCAGACCACCCACCGTGGACACCTCCCGAGATCTGAGCTCCCCAACCCTTCCTGAACTTGGCCTCCAGGGAATTCTCAGGGGCTGGTTCTTACAAATGCAGACAACCACCCTTGAGCAGCCATCAGCGGCCTCACGGCTTCCCAGGAGAGCCCACCGAGGGAGGTGCAGAGACACTTCACTCACTTACGCATCGATGCACGTATTAGGCACCTAATAATGCCAGGCCCAGGGCGAGGTACTGGACACATGAAGCTAAGCATTTCAGAGCTTTATAGCACAATCTCAGATTTCTGGGGAAATCACTGCAACTCGGAGAAATCAAGTGATCGCCCAAGGCCCCTGTCTTCATCCCTTCCTTCCACGGACCCCCATATTCCTTGCACCTCCCATCTCCGACCGGATAAGCGGACGTGGACTGACAGGCCCTGGGGTGTGGGAGGCGGGCTTCTGAGGCCAGAGGCCGGCCAGTTCCCGGGACCCCCGCTCCCTGATTCATACCCCTTTGGGTGTGGCCCAAAGAATCCTTCTGTAACCCTGGTCAGGCAGGAGGCGCCAGCAAGGAAGGGTTTGCCTGAGTCAGTAAAACTTTCTGAAAACCCAAAAGATTTTCTTGGACCAAAGCACAGGCCTGAAAGGAAATGCCTTGATTACCAAGCTGTACGGCGCTCATGGGGCCTCGAGTCTGACGGACACGGGTTTGGGAACCACATGCCCACGTGTCCTTGGGAAGCCTTTCCCGGCTGGCCGCCTCGAGTGCGCGCCCAGGGCTAGGGCAGCAGGAATGGCCCCTGACCCCATCACCACCACTGACCACAAACATCCCGCCTTAGGAAGCAAGCAGGGCCACACGGCGGGGGGTAACCCTCGCCTGATGCCAGAAAGGGGCATTCCCGCCCGCCGGGTCAGGGCCAAGCTCCCGGGGTAACGGAGGGGTCATACGGCTTCGGAAAACCGGAACCAGCCAGAGCCCTGCAGCCCGCAGAGCACGGTGCCAATAAGGGAAACCATGGAGTTGGACATCACAAGTCTATAAACACACAGACATCCGGGTTCCGAGCGAAACCTCATAGGTCTGGCAGGAGAGCGGTGCTTTCGCAATCAGAGTGTTTTCCCCATTTGGTGTCCCCGATAGCCAGTGCCCAGTGCCAAGGACACAGTAGGTGCTTCATACGCATTTACTGGACAAGACCGCAAACAGAGCCAGGGCTGGGTCTGTCCCCTTAAAAGCAGGGGACACGGTAGGAAAGGCTACTCTGTCCCTGTCAGAAGGACCCCGGCTCCCGGTTACATTTCTCCAAGGGAAGCAAGAGAAACGACCCTAAGAGAGAGATCATGGGGAATGATGGACAGAATGCAGAGCAGATGCAGAGGAGCTTTAATTGGGGTATCTATTTCATACCGCTGGTCTCAACCCTCTCCGGTGAGTAATAAGCTCATTCAAGAGAACTGAATTCCAACTACTTGGCTTTGGAGAGAAATGAATGCTCTTTAAAAAAAAAAATCTGGTAAATTAAACCTCAATACACTCATGCCTTTGAATCTGCCTCTCTCCAAATCAGTGCCATTGTTCCGGCTCCAATCATTTGTCTCCAAGCCAGGGCGAGACACACATTTTGTCAAGAGGGGAAAAGTAGAAGGTAGCCTCTTAGGAGGAAAAAAAAAGCAGCAGCAGCAGGGAGGGAATCCACGGGAGGAAAGCATCTGGTAGCATGGAGGGCAAGCCCGATACTCACCCGAACAACCACCACTTGTACAGACACGTGCTCCGGGAGGCGGATCGGGGCCCGGAAGTGCATGGCCAAGGACACAAGGAGGTGGAGGGTGGCCACCAGGCTCTTCCCATGAATTGCTTGTCGGGGGAGGGAAGAAGGGAGATGCTTTAGATCAGGTTCTGCAGGAACCCCGAGCCCATGTCCAAAAGGCAATAAAGACATTGCATCCAAACGAGACCACAGAGAAAAACCATGGGGGGAAAAAAAGCACCGGCCACAGAAAAATGAAAATGATGAGTGCCTTGTGTGAATTTACTTCTTTCTAATTTTTTCCCTTCCTGTTGGCTTTCAAGTGACATGTGCAACCACTTTCAAAAGCACAGCATTTTTAAAAGGGGTCAACTGGGTGGTGTGATAAGGAGAGATGGAGCAGGCAGGAGAGTGAAATTAGCCCAGGGAAGGGAGAATTTTGTGGAAGATGGGTCATCGTGACCACTTAGCCGTCACAATAATGTGCATTATTATCCCTGGCGCTTAAAAGTTCTCCCTCTGCACTATCAGCCTCCTGCACAAGGGAGGCAAGCAAGGGCGGATGGTGCTCCGGGGCTGGTGGAGAGCTTCCCAGCCAGGCCCTGCCTGCCCTGCACTGAGGATGGGGCGGGGCGGGGGGCGGGGCAGCCCCCCGACAAAGAACTCTCTCGCTTTAGTTCTTCACCTTTCTGCCTTCAGGTCTTGGCTGAGAATACCCTGATGTCACGTATTCGTCATGGCAGCACGCTCTGTGATTTATCCCAGAGGCCAGCATGAATCTTTTCCTGAGGACCTGCTCCGGCGGGTCATGGCTAGAACAGCTCATTTGCTGTTGCTCATTGCTCATTGGTGCCATGGGTATCTGGGGTTGGGTCCCTTTCAAAAACCCCACAGAGCTTCTCTCTCTTTCCCCTCCTTCCTCTGGGAGCCTCCCCTGCCCCCACCCAACCAGAAACAATTTCTCTCCTCTCGGAAGCAAGGGGGGAAAAAAGGCAATGACAGGCGTGACTTTGTCTCTCACCTAGGAGCTAGCTCCCAAGAGCGGGGACGCTGGCTTTGGCCTGTCCTACCTGCCTTCCATAGAGCAGCAACAGGAATGGGTTTTGAACATGCAAGCCCAGAGAGGCCACGATGAATGACAGCATGGAGAGCTGAGGGGACAGCCTCGGTGTCCCCCGAGACTACTCACAGTCAACGGTCCACTGGAGCGCCCAGCCGTGGGGCCGCAGTAGGCCGTGCACGGCTTCCAGCACCGTCTGCAGCTTCTGCTTCTGCCCGATCTCGGACTGCGTCACCTCAGCCACATTCAGCTTGCAGCCCGCCAGTTTTTCTGCAACGAGAAAGACAAGAGTAAGACGCAGGGCATCAGGAAACGCTGGAGGGTCTCAGGGCCGCCTGGTGCCCCGGCCGCAAGGGGGCCCTCCCCCACCCGGCCCGGGGCGAGCAGATCATCACAGAGCAGTGGGGTGCTGTCAGGACGGGGAGCCACGGAGCTCCGAGCTTTCTAGTCCTTTGTGTTCCTTGGAAAAGTACTCCAGAGCGGAAAGGGGGTGTGGAGGTCGAGGGCAGAACTGGAGGTGTCCCACTTGGGAACATTCTAGGCACGTGACATGGAAAAAATGACTCGAGGTACAACTGGGAGGCAGGGAGGGGACCCGCAGGGACGGGGACGGGGCCTGAGCGGAGGAGGCGGTGCAGTGGGTCCTCTCGTTTCTCTAACAGCAGGACACCGCGGTAAGGATGGCGAGATGTTCACAGATGCCACCACGAACGACTTCATCCCCGAGAGTGAGCCGGAAGCAACCTGGAGGACCCCAGCAAGCCCGACAAGAACCGCCACATCTGCTCGAGATCCGGCGACTGACGCCTGAGCCCGGCCTCGGTGGGAGCCCCGCCCACTTCGCCGCCGCGTGGGCCCCCCACCTGCTAAGGGGCAAGGCAAGAAGGGGCTCTAAGACCCAGGTGTCTCCTGATGGGATGTCTCTCCTCAGCAAATCAACAGCAGCAGCATCGCAGAACATGGCGACCTGTTCCCCAGGAGGGTGACCACGGTGCCCGGCACAGAGCCCACCCAGCCGCGAGCCAGGACGTGGCTGCTGGCTGTGGCACTGAAGGGGGGTACAGCAGACAGTGGAGTCCAGGCTGGTCACGGTGGGGCTCCCGTTTTGCAAGTGGTCCCCAGCAAAGCTCTGTGTACGGCATTCCGTCTGGAGGCCCGCTAACTCAGCATTCTCTCCCCATGTCCTCCCCTCCCTCGATTAGAACAAGAGCAAGCCATTTTAATATTCCCCCCAGGATAATATTATAGAGCAATGCCTGTGGGGCTTGGGATGCTCCTTCCTTTGCTTCCTTCCTTCCTCCCTTCCTTCGTTAGCTCACAAAATAGTTACATGAGCACCTTCTGTGCACCAGGCACTGTCCTGGGGCTGGATGCAGCACAGACAAGAGGCTCCCCAGTGGGGGGAGGCAGCCTCACCTCCATAACATCGGGCTGCAGCCATGAGTGCTAGAAGCAAAACAAAGCAACTCAACCAAATGCATCCAGCAGAGGCTAGAAGTGGTTGCTGTTTATATATTTTGATGTCCCTCTGCATCTGATAGATCCTAGCTGGATAAGCCACAGCTGTTCCATATGAACACCCTGAAAATACACAGCAGGTTCCCCATGTGTTACAGGGCAGAGCGGAGGATCCTGGGGAAGGAAGGAGGGTTACAGAGCTGGGTGGTCCAAGAGCCTCGCCTGCTGGGAGACGGGGAGCCCGGCACGCCTCTGCCGTCCCCTCCACCTGCCAACCCTGCAGCCCCTGCAGGCTGAACATGGCCGTGATACCCAGGCTGAAGGAGGAGGCGTGCTGGAGGCGGAAAGGAAACTGTACCAGCCTGTTAGGGCTGCGGTCACAGAGGACCTCAGACCAGGGGGCGTAAACAATGCAAATGTACTTTCTCTCAGGATCCTGGAGGTTAGAAATCTGAGATCAGGGGCTGGCAGAGCTGCTTTCCCCTGAGGCCCCCCCCCCCCCCCCGTGTCCTCACAGGCTGTCCTGCTGTGTGTGTGTCTTGATCTCTTCTTCTTAAAAGGACACCAGCCGTATGAGGTATGAGTTTAGGGACCATCCCCCAATGACCTCATTTTAACTTAATGACATTTAGAAAGACCCTGTCTCCAAATACAGTCACATTCTGAGGTCCTAGGGATTAGGATTTCAAATTATGACTCCTGGGGGCGGAGGGACACAATTCAGCCAATGACAGGAGCCAAGGAGGCTGGTTGCAGCTGGGTGCTGCCTGAGGCTGGTCCTGCTAGCCCTGCCACGTGGGAGAGGATCACACATCTGGCTGCCTGAGTCGCGGGCATCACTCTGCCTACCGATGGGCCCCAGGGGCGGCTCCGGGCTCTGCTGGCTTTGCTGCGGCCAAACCTGGCTTCAGAGCACAGAGAGGGACGGAGGAAGCTGGGGTGGATCCTCAGATGTGGCAGGCAAACGTGGTGAGGCTGAATGCAGGGCGGTGAACACTCCCTGTGCAGGTAAGGGCCTGCCTTTTGCAAGAAGGGAGTGCCATGAGTTAGAAGCAGGATCACAGCCAGCCCAGGAGGCCCCTGGGACCCCGGCAGGGGCACCCTCCCTCTGCCCACACATGGCCCACCTTGCGGAAGAGTTACACCCGCCGAAACCTGCCATGGGGCAGAGTCGGCAGCTGCTTCCAGGGTCTGCTCTCAAGAAGAGGGACCCAGCTGGGGTCCTGCTGCTGACTCGCACTTGGTAATCTCACATGGCCAAATCCAGAGGTCCACTCTCTGTCCTCACTCCCGCCTCCTTGAAACACCCTTCCTCTACCCATCCCTGCCTCCTCCCTACAGCTGGACCCTTCAGACTCCTTCGCTGGCTCCTCCTCTTCCTGACCCCTTCCTGACCACCCAGGGCCCCAACCGCACCCCTCTCCTCTCTCCAGATGCACAGAAGTCAGCTTTGGCCTCGGCACACGGCCACAATCTCCCTTTTGGCTTTGGCTTCTGCCTTTGGAGACAGTGACAAGCCGAATGTCTAGTCCACACGGGTGTCATTCCTGCTAACCCTGGGCTCGAGGACTCTATGTCACACAGGTCCCTGCTGCATCTCATCAGCGCAGCGACCTCAGCAGCAAGTAATCAACAACCAGGCAAGACATGCTGATTTTCTGTTCAGATCCGAAAATTCTCTTCCATGGTTCTTTTCCGCCAACAGAGGAGTGTGTCAACCCATTTGACATACGAGAGATTTTGGAATCACCTTATTGAGTACTCAAGTAAGATGTTCACGCGGGATGGAAGTCAGCTGCCAGAACCAGCCTCCCACAACACAGAGGGTAACACAGCCGACGCAGGATGACAGACAATCACGCAGCTTCAGATCGAGTGTGACATTTGCCAGCCGAGGGGGGCACCAAAGGACGTGCCGTGAGGGGCAAGAATTCTTACCTGATACCTGCTCTGAAGATGCCCCTGTCACTCATCGCCTGGGAGGGGCCGGCACCATTTACAGGCAAATTCAGAGCCTGTCCTATGATCCGGGGATGGTACCAGCAACCCCCCGCCCCGCCCCTCTAGAACTCAGGCTTAGGACACGATTTTTTCAAGCAACTGGGTGAATGAAGCCACAGGGGCGTGCAGAAGCATCGGAAGGAAAAAATTTGAGTGCAACACTCTTAAGTTTGCTTCTGAAAATGCTAGGAAGTATCTCCCTCCGGCAGGGAACCAGGCACCTGCTCAAGGGACCGTTTCAATAAGACAGCGGCGTCACCCACGGCCAACTCTTTGTGTCCAAGAGCCGAAGGGGAGCTCGGTCTTCACCTCAGACAAGGAGGACAGCTGGTAACCCAGGCAGCAACCCCATCAGAAGAATCCTTGCTGGTGGATCTGAAGATCCATGCGCTCCCCACCCCTTCCCTACTGTAAATATCTGTCATCACGAATGTCCGGTATAATGACCCTGAGGGGACCGAAGCCCCGAACAGCACTGAGGATGACCCTGGGAATGACCACACCAACACTACAATCTAAAACATCAAAACTCTGACCAACGCTTTTTTTTATCCACACCTAATTCATGTAGAGCGTTATATTAGTTTCAGGCATACAATATAATGATTCCACCTGATCGCCATTTTTAATAATAAACTGGTGATAATGATTACCAATCCCGATAACATTTCAAATTTATTATTGTACCGCAGGAGTCATTCCAAGATGGGGATGACTGGCTCAGCCAAATACTGAGAAATTTTTGGCCATTTGGCCTTCGGCCAACTAATGAATCTGGACCATCCTCTCCAGGTGAGGCCCCCAGGTACCATGGCTCTAAGCATCACCTCTGTGCTGCCGAGCTCTCCACCCTCACCTGGCGGCTGACTCAGGTAGAACAGGACCCGGCTGCTGCAACACCAACCTCATTCCCCACCCCCACGCTCCTCCCGAGGAGCTCCTGGTTCCCCAGCTGCTCAGGCCACAAACCTGGCTGTCATGTCAGCCTTGACACCTCTGGCAGCTCCAACCTCCAAGATCCCTCCCGGGGTCTGCACCTCCCCCTAGTCTGAGCCACTTCATCTGATGCCTGGGCTGCCGGAACAGCCTCCTGACAGATCTCAGCTCCTGCTCCCGACACCCCCGCCTTCTATACCCAGAAGCCCAGGTGACTTCGTAAAACACTTAGCTCACATTAAGTCACGGCCCTGCTCAAAAGCTCTAGCGGTTCCCTGTCACTTGGGATAAAAGCCTTTGCTGGATGTGATCTGGCCTCATCCATCTTCCCGGCCCCGTCCAGCACCCCCGCAACCCCTCTCCCCCACCGCCTGCAGCCTCCTTCCACTAATCTTTAAACACTCCAGACTCTTCTTCACATCCGAGTCTTGGCCTGGAATGTTCTTCTGAGGCTGGTGGTGCAGACATCTGCTCAGATGTCCCCTCCCCAGATACCCACCCCCACTGCCCAAACCCTCTCCACCCCGTGACCCTCTGGCTTCCTTCCTAGCGCGTGCCTCTCTTAAAGCATCTGTTTGTGTCCCATAACATTTCTCTTTCTTCCCTCTGCCAGAATGTAGGGGGACAGGTGGGCGAGGGGACCCCCCCTTGTTACCACTGCATCCCCAGAGCCTAGATCCACACCTGCCACAAGGTGAATCTTCGTCCAACAGAGGAACAACCAAGACAAACACAACTTCTTCCCTCCAAATGTACTTCTGGAGAACAGACTGAGCAAGGGCATGACATGTGGGCCATTCCCGCCCCACTGCCCCTGTAGGAGGGCTGACCCACAGAGGAAGTGGCACCGTTCTTGCCCCATCTCCCTGTCCCCATGGTAAAGTGCTGGAAGCTGGGCGTGGCCCGCTGCAGCCCAGGAGCTGCCACCTGGAGCATGGGCTCAGGCTACCCTGAAGACATGTGACCCATGCCACCTTGCAGAGAATCGAGTGGTCCAGCCTGGGGACCACCCCACGGTGGCCCCTTGCTGGGGTGCCTGTGAACTCACCCAAGAGCTTCTGCAGCACCTGGCCGTCGTAAAGGTCCTCCTCCAGCTGCTTCACGATGATTCTCTCCTCCACCAGGACGTCGTTGATCCAGTCGATGAGAACCTGGGGACAAGGAGCATTATGGCCTTGCTCGCCATGCCAGGCAGACCAGGGCAACGGCCAGAGCAAGCCCAGGAACTGAGCACTGTTGGGCACCAAAATGTGCCCCAGCATGGCGGCCAGGCAGACAGGAAGGGAAAGACGCAGCCTGGGCTGCTGGACTTCCCGTGGGACTTCAAGAGAGGACGGCGGAGGGCAGCCACCGCGGTGACCCTGCGCATCCTCCTGGCAGGAGCTTGGGTGGACAGGGACACTCTCAGGAAAAGGGAATGAGGGTAACTGTTCACTGTGGCTTGGAGGAGGGGGTTACACAAGTAATAGCAGCACCCCCTCGCAGCCCGAGGCAGGACAGGTGGCCCATACCACGTCCATTGCTCCCCTCCCACAAGGTCTGCACCAGAGCAGGCCCCCGTCACCCTGAGCCTAAAGCCATGGAGAGAAGGCAGCCCCAGATGGCCCGTGACTGACAGCTCTGAGCGCCTCTTCTTTTCAACAGCTTTACTGAGACGGAATTCACATCCTATACAATTCACCCTTTGAAAGTGTGCAATTCAGGGGTGTTTGGTCTTCACAGAATCATGCACCCATTGCCACAATCAACTGAGAACAACTTCATCGCCCCAAAAGAAACCCGTAGCCAGTAGCAGGCCCTCTGACCCCTCCTTCCAACCACTCAACTCTGCTCTCGGTCTGTGGATTAGCCTATTCTGGATATTTCATATAAATGCAATCTCGTGCAAATGGGATTGATTTCCTATAAATTTCATATCAACTTTATTTCATATAATACGTGATCTCTCAGGGCGCCTGGGTGGCTCAGTCGTTAAGCGTCTGCCTTCAGCTCAGGTCATGATCCCAGGGTCCTGGGATCGAACCCCACATCGGGCTCCCTGCTCCGCGGAAAGCCTGCTTCTCCCTCTCCCACTCCCCCTGCTTGTGTTTCCTCTCTCACTGTCTCTCTCTCTGCCAAATAAATAAATAAAATCTTTCAAAAAAAATACGTGATCTCCTGTGTCTGGCTTCTCTCGCTGGGCATGATGTTTTCAAAGCTCATCCATGCCTAAGCACGCATCAGAACTTTATTCCTTCCCGTGGTGGAATGACATCCCAGCACACGGATCTATCAGGTTTCATGGATCCTCTCATCACAGTTGATGGGCATCTGCATTGTCGCCACTTTTTGTGGCGTTGGTGAGTCATGCTGCTGTGGACATGCACTTGCTTCTCTAGGCCAGCCTTCCGCTGGAGACTTTTCTCGACAAGTTTCCATTCTCCTCGCCGGCGATGTATCATCAAAGAAGACAGCTTCAGCTGTGAAAAGATCTATGGAGAAACGGGATTCCCTTCGGCCAATCCCGCTTCAGCCACGAAATAAAATGGATGCTCAAACAGATTCGATCAAAAATAGCGCAGGATTTTCCGGTGCAGGCAAAACTAATAAAACTACCTAATTGGTCTCAATGACCTCTTGGAAGTGGGACTTTATGGCCCTTCTCAAAGATAAACGAAAGGGCACAAGTCTAGAATATAGTGTTCTCTGTCACCCTTGGAAACAGACGTAACCTGCAAAATTGGCCACAAGGCAAATTTCTGTGAAGCATCTTCTGTTTTCCCACTAACTCAAAAATATTACATCAGACACACAATCCCATGAAGAATAGAAGTGAACATAAATTAAAGGCAGGTCTGGAGGAAGAAAGAGGTGAGCAGGTCTGTGGCATTCTGGTTTCGACAAAGCCATCCTGAAAGGTCAGCAAGATGGAGCCAGGTACAGTTCTCCCACACCGTCCCCCCACCCCGTTCCCTCCCCTCCCTCCCTCTCCCTCCCCAGGGCCAGCTGCCTGGGTTGAGAGCCTGGCCTGGGGTCTGGCAGCTGGACCTCAACTCACTCCCCTGCCCAGGGCCATGACTGCACCATCAGCCCCTAGCTGAGCTGCCTCCCCTCCCGCCTTCCAGCACTCGCCTCCACAGACACCGCATTCGCCCGGCTTGTGTCCTCCTCTCTGACCTCCCTTCCAGTTCCTTTGGGGGTCCTCCTTGACTTCTACAGGCCTCTTGAGGCCTCGCCGTGGACAACTCTTCTCCTCGCTCTCCACTCTCTTCCCAGGCCAGCTCATGCCTTCCCACAACTTCCAATGCTGTCCCCAAGTCAGAAACCCCCAAATATGCAGCCCCACCTCCACGATCCTGCTGCTCAGGTGTCCCTAAAAGCATCTCTGAAAGAATTCATCTCCCTCCAAACCTGCTCCTTTCCCCTTCTGGGAAAGAAACAGAATACCATCCACCAGTGTGAAGAGCCTGGACTTCACCCCTCACCCCACTTCTGCCCACCTCATAACTTTTCACCTTCTCCTCTTCACCATCCTTGACTAAACCACCTCCTTGAACCAAGGCCACTTCCAACTGAGCATCCTGCCTCCTTGCTGGTGTTCTTAAGAACCCCAAGCTCCTCTCTGCCTCAGGACCTTTGCACATGCCATTCCTTCCAACCTGAACACACCTCCCCCCCACACCAAGGCCTGGCCAGCTCTCACTCATCCTTCAGGTCTCAAACTTCCCTATCATTCTCTGACCGCCGTGTCCCATCCAGGCCATGCGCCCCATCACCCTCTCAGCACAGCCGAGCACCATTTCCCTGACCCTGTTCACATTTACAATGGGAACATATCTCCGTGTGTAATGATCTCCCCCACTGGACCCGAAGCTCTCTGGGGGTGGGAACTATGGCACCAGCGGCTCTGTCCCCAGCACTCGGGGCTCACTGCCTGCCAGAAGCAGCCACCAAGTTGAATAACCAATTTACAGAGCACCCACTATGTGCGAGACTGTGAGAATAAACAAGACAGATGGGGCCTCTGTTCTTACATTCTAATCCGACATGAAAAGATCCACAAATATACACACTTTCAGACTTGGGATCAATGTTAAAGAGAAAAACAAGGCAGGGTACAGTGGAGAAGCCTGACAGAGACACCAAGGCAGGTGATGAAGGTCAAATGCCAACAGGGATCTGTCACGGTGATGGCAGGTGCCCTGACCTGATATGATGGGATGAGAAGGGCACTTTACCTCTCTGGTGTTCCTCCTAAAACCCATTACCCCACTCCAATCTGGAGCAAAACATCAGACAAATTCCCATAGAGGGGCATTCTCCAAAATTCCTGATCAATACTCATCAAAATGGGCAAGGTCATCATAAACAAGGAAAGTCTAAGAAACTACCAGAGCCCAGAGGGGCTAAGGAGACTGGATCCATGATGAACTGTCATGTGGGATCCTGGATGCAGGCCTGGACCAGAAAAAGGACAGTGGGGAAAAAACTAAGGAAATCTGATTAAAAGGGGGACTTTAGTTAACAACGTATTAATACTGAACAAATGTGCTACGCTGATCTAGAATGTTAACAAGAGAGGAAATCAGGTGTGGCTATACGGGAACTCTCTGTACTCTCCTTTGCTATTTTTCTATAACTTTAAAACTGTTTAGAAAATAAAGTCTATTGAAAAAAATAAGGCAGGGTTTGGGGATGGGGAGGGTACAGTGGCCATTGGGGACCAGGAGGTCAGGGGGCTTCCTGGAGAAGGTGGCATCTGAGCAGAGAGAGGAAGGAGGATGGGGATGAGCCATGCAGCCACCTAGAACAACCAGGGAGGTGCGAGGTTGGGGAGCCGGGGCAGGAGGACCGGGGGAGGGAGATGCAGAGCCAGCCCCAGATGCCCACCTGGCCTCAAGGGCAGCAGCCGTGAAGCCGCTCAGGGTGGTGGATGAGGAGAGCGACTGTGGGCATTAGCGGGATGGGGAAGCACCCAGACATGACAGAGGGCACAGGTGGGGCAGGAACAAGGGTTGGAGATGACCCTGGGAATGGGCAGGCGAAGCAGGATGGAGGACCAGGAGATGGACGGAGGCGGGGAGCGGCTGGGCAGGTGCGTGGGATGCCTCCAGGGTGCTGAGGTCTTGGGAATGGTGTGAGAAAGTCAAGAGGAAGACCCGTGCCACAGGCTGGAGGCACCAATGAGGAAGGGGAGAATAAGGGGAGACAGTTCAAGGAGGGAGGGAAAGGTCTAGAAGCAGCTGGGAGCATCTGGAGCTGGGAGGACATCTGCCCCCTCCTGCCCCAACATCCATGGCGGGGGGGTGGCGGGGGAGACCCATCGAGCCATCCAGACCCCATCACCCACCCTCCCAGGACCCTGGTTACACAGCTGCCAGCTATCACAGGAAGACCTGCCCCATCCCTTTGTCTCCCCCCGGCCACCAGCAACCTGGCTCCTGGCAAGAAGGACCTCATCCTCGATCCCTTAATCCTACAAAGCTCTACCATGGTCCTTTTATCAGCAAGTTTACAGCAATTATAGGCACCAAGTGACAGTATCCCACTCACCAGCTATCACCGAGCACCTGCCTCGTGCCAGGTGGTAGGGGGCAAAGGTGTCCCTGACCTCCAGGAGTTGACGCTCCACCTGGGAGGTGGGCAGAGATGAATTAGGAGCACAAGCGGGGAAATGGCAAAAATCCAGGCCGTGGAGGCGCGAAGCTATGCCTCTGACGTCTCAGGGAAGGTGGGGGCGTTCAGAAGGCAAACCCACAGCGGACAGGGCAGGAGGACCGGGTGCCCCACAGGAGCCAAGCTACAGCCCACGCCGCCTCCATCGGGGCTGGAGTCACAGAGAACCACCTCCTCCCCGCATTGCTGACGGTCCAGGGCACAACTGCACAGACCACACTTTCTCAGGACAGGGGATGGGGATGCTTGCTTCTCCCCTGAGACCAAGAGACCTGGAATGCCCCCCACTGTGGCTCTCTAAAGCTGACCCACTGCCCAGACCCTGAACCCACTCCCACAGCCACAGAACTGAGACCTCTATGTCTATGCCCCTCCCCACCCAGGGCCTGTTCTGGCTGCTTGATGAGATTTTACTGGTGTATATTTTTTGCAAAATGTGTCATTTAAACTTAAGAGATAAAAATGAGTGTGGGGACACAAGGCTCAGCAACCCTAA